CTTATTTTTCTAGAGCCGTGTCTGTTTTTAATAGCATTCTTCTAATATTGTCCTAAAGGTCCAATCAGTAAGATGTATAGAGACTGAAATGATTAAGGTATCTTACTATATGATCAGACATTAAGGAAACATGTTATGTTGAAGTGATGGCATCTCTGACAACAATGCAGCAGCCAGTATGTCCTCCTTCTAACTTTAGATTCTGCTCCTGAATGCTCTGGATTTGTTTGGACCAATAACTTCATTATTCATTATTGCAGATTGTAAAATAGTAGAAGTCCTACACACCAAATATTCGTGCAATTTCTTGTTTTTAACCCCCAATTTTTGAAGGCAAACTCCTGCACACTGTCTAAACTGCACTAATCCGTTGGTGTCAATGTATGCTGTGTGTAAAATGAAAAGACAAGTTGTTTTCCTCATGATATATTTTATTCTGGGGAGGGGGTGTGCTTAAACTAGGATCAATATTGGAGATGCTTTTGAAAAATGGAGAGAGGTTAGAACACAGAAAGGTTTACAGACCGATGCAGAGCTGGATAAACACTGAAGCTTCAGTGTCCACCACATGGTGACCTGCATGAACATCGACTCTAGAGAGGAGGGGGAGACAGCTCTCTACAATGTTTAGAATTTAGACTGCAGTACCCATTTTAACCACTAGGGGCCAGAGTTACATACTGCTCCTTTAACCTTCTCTAATAAATCAAATGAAATCTAGTCAGAATGATAATCTTTTCCAAATGATTAATGTCAATACTTCTAGACATCATGCCAGCGTGTAAGCTCCACAGACGCGTGAAATATCAACCATATGTTCAGCGAGGAATGTGACAGGTTCAAAGAGAAGATGGGGGGTGGTGGAAGGGGGCAGTTCAGAATTGATTTTGAAAGTCAGATCGGCCAGAAGTTGTTTTTGTCCTATTCATCTTTGCAGTAATCATCACTTGATGCTAGATCGAGGAGTCCGGCCCTTTAAAACAGAACAAATGAAGACCTGTTGGCGCCTGTTGATCGGCCTAAAACCTGCAGGTGTTTCTGCAGCTTCCTGTTTATGAATGTAAACAGTAATGTGATTCAGTCACTCTCAGTGGGTCGATGTTTTTTAATGAGACACCATCAGTAGCGGTCTGAGACAGAGCTCGTCGTCTGGCTCTCATCACAGTTTGGTTTGAGGGTCTCTGGTTTGATGAATTCAGTTGGAGGTCTGATGTTGATGCGGATGTCTCGTCTGGAGTCTGGAGGCTTTTGGAGCTGATTCATAAAAAGAAATCTGCTTTATGAATCTCGCTCTTTGTTCAGATCTCCCCTCGAGGATGTGCTCCGTGTCTCTGCTTGTTTCCTTATTTTGTTGTGACACAGATGGATCCTCTGAGATTAAGCCTCCTGTGTGTCCCTCTCGTCTTTGTACCTTCATATATCTGCCTGTTTCTGATCGATAGTTTCCTCACTGTTCAAAATAAATATCCACATCGAGCGCTCCGAGCTTTTAGCTCCTTTAAGCGCGTTGTTTTGGTTTTACGTCTGTCTCTGTTATCGTGCTTCAAGCAGCTGTTTTCATTCACATTGTTCGTTTTGACTTCAGCGTTTAGACCTCGTGTTTTACCTCTGTGTTGAGTAGGAAATGAGAAGGGGGAGGGGGGGGGTGCTCTCATTATGTATGAATTACGGCTTGATTGATGACCTTCTGATCAAAGTGCAGCACAGTTTCCTCTTCCTCCCGCCTCGTTATGTCACCCTGATGTCAGCTGTTATTACAGGCTCTCCATGTAAAGCCGCTCAGAGACGTTTTTTTTCGGAGGCGTCTCTATCAGCGTTGTCACAGGAAGTTCTGCGGCAGAACAGGAAAGAAAACAGGACGTTGAGCGCAGCGCGGCGCAGGTTGTGTCGTTTACAGTGAAGCAAGAGCGTCTGACGTCAGAGCGGGCGATGAATGGAGAAGACTAATGTTCCCGGGAAGTTAAAAACAGAGTAAAACTGCTCAGAAACAAACATGAAGCATCACTTCTGATGGACTGATGTGGAGAGACTCGGCTCACAGGTTCATCCTGGGAGATAAGGACGGACGCTGACCCGATCTGACTTAGTTTTGACGTCAGCATTTAAAGCTCTGCAGTCTAAAAATACAAAGCATCACCTCCACCCCAAGCTTTGCCTCCGATTCATCCACCTTTAACTTACTTGTCTGTGAGTCTGGGACTCTAAGAGGAGTAAAATGTAGATCTATGCCTGCTAGAAGTTCAAAACTGCGGCCTTGCCTTTTTATTCACGTAACAGCTGATCTCACAGAAAGAAGTTAAAGAAGCAAGAGTTTAGCTCTATGTTTTCCAGAAAGGCTGCTGAGCAAAAGGCCTTACAGCTGTAAACTACGGAAGCCCTAAGAGGACATGCAGCCAAGCATTTGATTTAATTCAGTTTTCCTGTGATGACGAGTTGATTTCAGTCATTTTCTCAAGATATTCCCTAATTTTCCCGGCGAAGCCTTCGCTGTTATCTCCAGATAATGATTTCAAGTCGAGATCTCCAGAGAACAACCGGAAATGACAACCCTGTGTGTGTGTGAAATTCTGTTTTGTTGTAAATAAAGTGTTTTTCCTAAGTGTTAAGGAGAAACAACATTACTCTCATTTAGTGTTACAATGCAGGATGTCCAAACTAAACGTGTGCAAAGTTTCAGATCATGAGGTAAACGACTTGTTCTGTAAATCACGCCATAGTTCCCGATATGAAACCAAGACCAATTTCACCAGACGGCTTCAAGCCTCTACGTAAGCCATTCAAACCTCTTACATAGACTCTCTTCTCCCAGACCTGGACAGCAGCCCTCCTCCTGGGCTCATCTCCCCCTGAAGCTCTCAGCAGGATGTAGTGTGTACGTTTACTGCTTGTTCCTACACTGCAAGCTAACAAACGCTAGCACAAGCTAACCGCCATTGTTTGACACCTGCCTGTCCAACAGGAAACACACCAGCTCGCCGCCCAGAAACGTCCCGAGTCGACAAAAACAAACCAAAACATGAATTATCCAGGAAGAGTCTCTTTGAGCTGTTTCTATCAGGTCTTTACTCGTGTGTCTGCACCTGCATCTGGGACAAACTATTATTGGTATCAACAATTGAAACAGGTGATGTGTAAAGTTTCACCTGCTGCACGCAAAGACAACAGGAAGGATGTTTTAAAGAATGGGGTCAATCAGGACGAGTTACATTTACACAATGTGAGCTCAGAATGAGAGACAGACCATCCAGATCTTATCCTGCCCTGTGTGTGTGTGTGTGTGTGTGTGTGTGTGTGTGTGTGTGTGTGTGTGTGTGTCTCTGTGTGTGTCTTGTGTGTGTGTGTGTGTGTGTCTCTGTGTGTGTCTTTGTGTGTGTGTGTGTGTGTGTGTGTGTGTCTCTGTGTGTGTCTTTGTGTGTGTGTGTGTGTGTGTGTGTGTGTCTCTGTGTTTGTCTCTGTGTGAGTGTACCTCTTTGTGTGTATGTGTGTACCTGTGTGTGTGTGTGTCTCTCTGTGTGTGTCTGTGTCTCTCTGTGTCTCTCTGTGTCTGTGTGTGTGTCTCTGTGTGTGTGTGTGTGTGTGTGTGTGTGTGTGTGTGTGTGTGTGTGTGTGTGTGTGTGTGTGTGTGTGTGTGTGTGTGTGTGTGTGTGTGTGTGTGTGTGTGTGTGTGTGTGTGTGTGTGAACCTCTCTCTGCTTATACAGGAAATTAAAGACGTTCTATCTCTTAATCAGACGTTTAAATCAGGGTCATTCTGCAGCCTCATTCGGAGTTTGTGATAATAGATGGCGTGAAAGTGTTTTTAACGAGTTCTTCCAGAACTGGGATGTTTAGAAATTCTCTTATGGTTCACCTGATGTGCTCTGATAACACACTCAGCAGAACAGGACTAACACCTGTTCTCCACATTTTTCTGGAATGTTCCTCTGGCCAGTTTGTAAAAGCTTTGATGAACTGTGTTACTTAAAGGTCACATATTCTCCTCCTCTTCAACCAGTTTAAAAAAAGTCTCAGAGCTCCTCAAAATGTCTGTGAAGTCTCTTGTTCTAAATCCACTCTAATCCTGTGTTTGATCATGTCTATAAACCCCTCTATTTCAGCCCTGCTCAGAACAGGCTGTTTCTGTGTCTGTACCTTTAAATATGTAAATGAGCTGTGTCTGACCACGCCCCCTCTCTGGAAGGGCTCGGGTGTCTCGGGCTTTCTTGCTCCATGTCCTATTGTTTATGGTGAGAAGGCAGACTCAGAGGGCAGAACAAACACCTAGCTGTGGGAGTGTCACCCACCTGGGGGAGGGGTTGTTGCCCTTTGTGATGTCATGAAGGGAAAATCTCCAAACGGCCTGTTTGAGCACACATTTTCTGAAAAGTGAAAAGTCTGAGAATCATCAGAACGGCCTGTAAATAAAAAGCTCTTATGATTGTATCGTTTATTTCCCGACGTGTAAAAAGAGATCAACCAGAATAACCTTCATGAGTCTGAAGCTTCTTCTCCTCGTCCTGTGAGAAACAATAAGAGAGCAGGTTATAATGTACATGTTAAAATATGCTTATTGTTCGTTTGCTCTCCTTTTTCAGGCTCGTAACATCCGGACGTCCGAACTGGCAGCTATCAAGATTGTGAAGCTCGACCCGGGTAGGATAAACTTCACACAACCTCTCAGTCCTGACGAACACTCAAAGATTTCTAATTTCCCTCTGGGTTTAATAAAGTCTCAATAGATACTCGAGACGTTCTCACCATCTGAAGACGTTCAGAACAGAGACTTTAGGACTCAGCACAGACCTGGAGTTGACTTCCTTAAAGAGCAGATTAACATCAGTATCATTTTCTTTAACGCCCTTACAGACTGATTTTTTCTGAATAAGGTCTCCTGCACGAAGCTTCACTTCAGTCTGATAAACAAACACATACAACCTGATCCACCAGTGTTCCCAGTGCTCTAACCCTGTAGTTTACTGGTCTGTTATTGAGTCTGAACTCTAACCGTGTGTGTGCGTACAGGTGATGACATCACGACCATCCAGCAGGAGATTACCATGATGAAGGAGTGCAAACACAAAAACATTGTGGCATACTTCGGAAGCTACCACAGGTGAGCTGAAGTCAGTTTGCAGACTCTTCAGATGATACAGTTTCTTCAAGTCTTTGTCTGTATTTGTCCCCACAGCTGCTGGATTCTTCTCCCACTCGTGGCTCAGACAGCAGCTCACTCATCATTCTTTGTGTTTGTGGGCGTTCGTCGGACTTTCAGGGAGCGTCTACATTTGTGTTTCCTTCAGACTCTTAGGGAGCGTCTACATTTGTGTTTCCTTCAGTCTTTTAAGGAGCGTCTACGTTTGTGTTTCTTTCAGACTTTCAGGGAGAGTCTACGTTTGTGTTCAGACTTTTAGGGAACGTCTACGTTTGTGTTTCCTTCACACTTTTAGGGAGCGTCTACATTTGTGCTCAAACTTTTAGGGAGCATCTGCATTTGTGTGTCCTTCAGATTTTTAGGGAGCGTCTTCGTTTGTGTTCAAGCTTTAAGAGAGCGTCTACATTTGTGTTTCCTTTACATATAAACGCTTTAATACTCAGATGATGTTTGTGTCTCTGCAGGAACACCAAGCTGTGGATCTGTATGGAGTACTGTGGAGGAGGCTCACTGCAGGATATGTACCACGGTATTAAACAATGTTTATATTAAATACACTTTGAGTGATTATTAGAATATTATCTGCAGCTCATCTCAACCCGAGCGGGATGAAAAAGATTGATATACTTCACCTCTGTGCTTCAGTCGTTTGTCTTTGTGTATTCAGATCAGGAAACATCTTGAGTCCTGCTTTGTCTTTTCTTTTAACTTAAAATTTGAATTCTCCAGTTCTTAATAAGCGGTTTATATCGTGAATATTTGTAGTAGTTAAAAGTTTGTGCACCACATGAACAGAGGCTGTGACCCTCAAAGCGTGCATCCCAGGTTTGACGGATTTTTCTTTGTTCCTTTTTCAGAGCACATGAGCTATTAATTTCTGTCAGGACCTAAAGACAATTTCAACCAAAATCCTAAAAAAGTGGATCTGGAGGAAATTACCAAACCCCTGACTTTAAATGTTATGATCTGCTGACATGTTCTGCTGTAATCACCTCATTCACTCAGAGACGTTCGTATGATTACTATAAATCAGACGTGGAAGAAAGCACAATGAACTCTGAGGAGAACATCCTATCTTTTTTAGAGACTGTGTGTGCAGGCTGTGTCTTTCCCCCTCCTGGTCAGAATGTGAGTTATTAATCAAAGTGTGGTTCACAGTGACGGGCCCGTTAAAGGAGAAGCAGATCGCCTATGTGTGCAGAGAAACCCTCCAGGTAAGACTTTCTCAGTGAGTAGCAGCTCGTTGTGTTTGTCAGAGTGACTCATGTGTTTTTCCAGCCACGGAGGAGATAAATAGTATTTAACCTCGCCAGACCGCTAAATATACAGTGCTGTAAATGCTGCTGCTGCAAAACAGAGTCCTCTGCAGAACAAAGCAGGCTGTCTTTATTTAGTTGGTGAGTGGCCGTTTCCTCCTGCAGGGTTTTTCTGGACGATCAAGTCTGAAGACAACAACAAAAACATCATGACCGTGAAGTAAAGAGAGAGAAGTCACAGGAAGCAGCTCGTACACATCGCTCCTGTTTGACTTTGATACTAACAACAGCTAATGCAGCAAATTAAAACAGCTCTAATCACATATCCGGTGGTGTTTCATTAACCGATGTAGAATATTAACTTCAGTAGATTCCGGGGTCTTTGCAGTTTCTGAATGAGACGTTAAATCTACTTGAAGAGATTGTTATCCACACTCACTCCTCTTGGTTCCTCTGGTTATGTTGGGCCTCTAAAAGTAAGACCCAAATCAGAAGCAGGAATGTTTTATGACATGTTGGAAAGTCTTCATTATTTTTCATTTTTGACCACGAGTCTCCGGTCCCTGTGTGACCAAATGTAGAGCTGTGTCCACATCCTTGGCACAAAGTCAGACATGTTCCCGATGTGTGTGTGTGTGTGTGTGTGTGTGTGTGTGTGTGTGTGTGTGTGTGTGTGTGTGTGTGTGTGTGTGTGTGTGTGTGTGTGTGTGTGTGTGTGTGTGTGTGTGTGTGTGTGTGTGTGTGTGTGTGTGTTGACCTCCGATAGGGCTGTCCCTGGTCTCTGATTCTGTTTGTGTCTCAAGGCGTAGATCTAAAGTGACCCGACCTCGGATAAGCAGAAGAAAATGGATGGATGTTTAGATTATCCAAAATGTATCTTTGTCATAGAAGTTGTCATTGAAATGTACATCATCCCTGTTTAATAGATGACAACAATAAAGTGAGTAAATATAGAGGATGTATGCACCAAGCGCTCTGCACAAAGGTCACCTGTCCGTTTGTTTTTTCAGGGTTTGTATCACCTGCACGAAACTGGAAAGATGCACCGAGACATAAAGGTACTGCAGATTTCTTCAGCTCAGTTAAGCTCTTGCTGAATGACTGTGAGATTACACTTCATTCTGTCATGGCAACAAAAAGTTTACATCTGGGGCGCGCTGGTGTCGCAATGGTTAGGGCGCGCGTCCCATGTGTTGAGGCTCTCATCTCGAGCGGTAGGCCCGGGTTCGCTTCCACCCGTGGCCTCTTTCCGCATGTCATTCCCCGCTCTCTCTCCCTGGTTTCCGACTCTATCCACTGTCCTCTCTCTGCATTAAAGGCACAAAAAGCCCCCCAAAAAAAAATCTTAAAAAAAAAAAAGTTTACATCAGTATGTGGGGTTTTTTTCTTTCTGCAGGGAGCGAACATCCTTCTGACAGAGAGAGGAGATGTTAAACTGGGTGAGTGGTGATGAGTATTTAAACACTGAAAAAAGACATTTCACTGACATGATATCAGGATCCCTAAGCTGCAGTTTAACCCTCTCTGTCCGTCTGTGCGTCTTTCATTTCTGTGTAGCTGATTTTGGAGTAGCGGCAGAGATCAGCGCCTCTGTGGCCAAGAGGAAATCTTTCATAGGAACTCCATACTGGTAAGAGGAATAGTCTGTGTCAGTAGCATGCAGTGTGTGAGGGTTTTAAAAGAGTGACTCTTTCATGAGGAGTGCATACGTCTTCAGGGCATTTGTTCACAAAGCAGCCAGTTAGCCCGTCTCTGAACTGTTTGATTCAACGGCTGAGAGGTAGAGGAAAAAGAGAGAGAGTGGGTACTGCAGTCTAAATTCTAAACATTGTAGAGAGCTGTCTCCCCCCGCCCCCTCCTCTCTAGAGTCCATGCTCTCACAGGTCACCATGTGGTGGACACTGAAGCTTCAGTGTTTATCCAGCTCTGCATCGGTCTGTAAACCTTTCTGTGTTCTAACCTCTCTCCATTTTTCAAAAGCATCTCCAATATTGATCCTAGTTTGAGCACGTTTCTGCTCGTGGAGCTTATTAGAAACATGCAGAGGCTTTTTAGGTCGGGTACAATCACTTCTATCTGAACCACTTCTCTTGGCCGCTTCCATCACTGCAACACCTGTTGACCTGATAACTGCTCTCATATCTGACAAACCGAGGGGCGTCCAAAACAGCCGTGTGGGGGTGTCTTAACATTTGTTTCAAACAAATCCAGATCATTCAGGACCAGAATCTAAAGTTAGAAGGAGGACATACTGACTGCTGCATTGTTGTCAGAGAAGCCAGCACTTCAACATACATAACATGTTTCCTTAATGTCTGATCATATAGTAAGATACCTTTATCGTTTCAGTCTCACTGATTGGACCTTTAATAAATGTAAGTAAAAAAAGTGATGACATGTAACAACCTCTTAACGTTTCATCCTCGATGTTTCCTCTCGTCCTGCAGGATGGCTCCTGAGGTGGCGGCGGTGGAGAAGAAAGGCGGTTACAACCACCTGTGTGATATCTGGGCTGTCGGCATCACGGCCATCGAGCTGGCCGAGCTCCAACCGCCCATGTTCGACCTCCACCCGATGAGGTCAATGAGGACATTTTTTATGTAACATTACGGCTGCATGCAAGCTTTCTTCATCATTTGATCTTTCATCCATCCTGTTTCATTCATTTATTGTTGTGTTTAATCTTTTTTAAGCACTTTGGCGGCTGGTTTTAGTGCGGAACAAATATTTTCATAATTACTATTTTATTACCGAGCACCTTTCCCCTCCTGCTGACGTGTTCCTCCATGTTTCAGAGCTCTGATGTTGATGTCAAAGAGCAGCTTCCAGCCTCCACGTCTAAAGGACAAAACCAAGTGGTGAGTTTAACTCTGTGTTTTTCTTTTACTTCCTTTAATCCTAGAATAAAAGGTGTTGATTTTTATATATTTTGGTTCTCTCTGCAGGTCTGCAGGTTTCCAGAGCTTCGTGAAGATGGCACTCATTAAAAACCCTCGTAAAAGGCCGTCAGCGGAGACCCTGCTGCAGGTGAGATCGCTCGTTATAGAACTCTATTAATGATCGGCTGCCAACCCGCCATTGCTCTTCTTATTCACAGTATCATACATTCACTATTCATTACCCTGATGAGATCTATTTTTAGATGTTTCCAGAGTACAGGACTGTGACCAGCTGCCTCACATTCATAAACCCCCACAGACTTTGAACGCATCATGGATCCTCATAAGGGAGCGGGATTGAAATACTTGCTGCGTGTTTTATGTTTTTCTCCGTCATCTGATTGACACAGTCTGTCTCAAAGGTCGCGTCACCGCCACTCAGTCAAATCAACACACACACACACACACACACACACACACACACACACACACACATCAGATCTCTGACTCTCACTCTGTTTTTGTTTTTCATCGTGTCGATCAAAAACAAACGTCTAGAAACTCTTCAGTGCGAAAGGTCACGTCACAACTTCTCCCCATGAGAGGAGCAGCGTTTTATTTAAAGTCGTGTTCACACAATTAACTATCTCGTGAAAATCCTGCACACTACTCTTTGTCAGCTTCACGATTTATCAACACAGCAAAGAGGGAGGAAAGGATGTTAAGAATCGTTTTTTACGATTATTAGGGATGTAAGATGAATCGTGAGGAAGTTAAAAATCGATTCAAAGGTGTCAAGATTCACATCAGTACTCTGAAAAAAGAATCGCAGTAACATGGTGAGCGTCAGCAGCTGTAGAGCAGAGGAGGTTGGTCGCTGCAGAGCGAGATTTAGAAATTGAGGACGCACCAGCGTCTTTTAAATCGGAGGTGTGGAAACATTTTGGCTTCCCCAAGACAGAAAATTAAAGAGGTGAGAAGATAACAGACCAGACAAAAACTGTGTGCAAATATTACAAGAGAACTAGACAAATAGCACGGCCAACATGATGCAGCATTTAAATCAACACCAAGGCCAAACCACACTGACAGGCGGGTTTGCAGCCCCGCTCGCCCAAAACGAGTGAGAGAGCCAAAGAGATTACGAGGTGCATCTGTGTTTTCATGACAAAAATGAGAGGAATCTTTTTCAGTCATACTTTGTCTTCAGTCTCATTTTGTAAAATAACTCGTGAGAGATTCTCTCTATAACGTCAAAGCGTTGCTCTTTATTTTCATTTGGTTTGATGTGATCCTCTTGATGGGAAAGTATAAATATAAACGTGCAGCCCACTTTTCACACATGCACAGAGAGGTTTGGAGCGTGAGCTGCATGCTGGCTCCTTTCCTGCCAGCCCCGTTGTAAACTTCTCATGAAGTCGGGTGAGGCGAGCGGGAGGAGGTGGTTACGCTGCTATCACATGACCGTGTAGCTCGTACTGTGATCGAGTCCTCGCCCAGCTGGCTGCGGTCCTGGATGTAGAGTATAGTTGAGTACAGAACCTCAATTCCAGGACTATTGTCTTTGGATTTTTTGGCAGGGACCTGGGAGGCTAACTGTTTTATAAAAGGTCAAGAGAGGTCAAATCATCAAGACATCTTAGCCAGACAATCACAGAAATGAGGATCTGGTCCACTCATTATTCAAACCAGGCAACTCTCCCTAAGTGAGACTGTCTGTGAGTCATGTTTTATTTGTTCTTCCAGCATCCGTTCGTGACTCAGCTGCTGACTCGTAACCTCGTCATCGAGCTGCTCGACATGGCCAACAACCCCGAGCTGCACAGCACGCACACGCTCAGCATGGACGACATGGAGCTGGAGGTCAGGAACACGCACAGCTCACACACTGATATGAACATTTGACAACACATTCAGGTTCTGCTGTGATTTCTGCGTTTGGCTTCTGTGAGCGTTCAGCGTGACCGATTGTGTGTGTGTGTGTGTGTGTGTGTGTGTGTGTGTGTGTGTGTGTGTGTGTGTGTGTGTGTGTGTGTGTGTGTGTGTGTGTGTGTGTGTGTGTGTGTGTGTGTGTGTGTGTGTGTGTGTGTGTGTGTGTGTGTGTGTGTGTGTGTGTGTGTGTGTGTGTGTGTTTTTGTTGGTGTGTCGTTTTAATGCGACGTGTCGACAGGTCGGGGAAGTCGGTCCAGACAAAATCCAGTCAGCAGGGAAACACCTGCCTGCAGAGAGGACGCTGTCTGAAGAGCAATGTGAGCACACACACACACACACACACACACACACACACACGCACACATCTTGGGTATGTCCTGCAGCTTTCTGTAACTTCACAGATGAAGGCGATAAAGACAGAAATGCTCGACGCTTTCTCTCCGCTCGTTGTTTCAAACATGCTTTCACTGTCTCGATGGAAACAGTTTCCCACAGTCCTGTCTGCACACGGAGGTCGCCAGGTGTGGTACCATCCGGTCTTTATGGAAAGCACAAACACTAAATCTGTTCTCACCGTCTTCTTCTCTGTACCGGGCCGGGTTTATTTCTGCTGTGACAGGAGGTTTCAACTTTGACCCACTTTTGGAGACGGCCTCTTAAAGGTCGTCAACATGTTCGATACTTCTGTTCTTACCACATGTTGTTTTAAAACAATACCATCTCCATTATTTAAAAATCTACATCTATCCTCGGAGCGGCTGTGGCTCGGTTGGTAGAGTCGGTCGTCTCTCAACTCGGCGGTTTGATCCCCAGCTGCACGTTGTCCGAACTGCACAAAAACACTGGCAGTGCAGTTTAGACGTTGTGCAGTGGTTTACCTGCAATTTTTAGGAAACAAAAACAAGAAACCATCAGACATTGGGGGCTTAGGACTTCCAATCTGAGCCTGTTGGTGACAAAAACAACAACTGTGATTGAAGGATTGTGTGGAAGCCGTTACAGCTTGTGTCCTGAAACACTCTGCTGGAGCACTCCCCTTCATGTAACTTTTTGTTATTAAAGAGGACATATTATCCCCCTTCTCCACCTTTTTAAAGAGTCCCCTGTGGTCTAAATGAAACATCTGTTCTGTGCTTTGGTCAAAATATAACATGAATCAAGCACCAGAGGAGGTTTGTGACCCTGTATAAACCAGCTCCCTCAGAACGCTCCGTTTTGGTGTGTGTGTCTCTTTAAATGTAATGAGCCCCCCCCCTGAGTTTTCCTGGTAGACATCACTCCTCTGTAGAGAGAATAAAAATGGCGGACTTGCAAAAAAGTTTTGCTCTAGGCTGGGTGTCCATGGGTGGAGATACCAGGGGAGGGGAGGGGATTTTTTTAAACAGAATCCCACTGTGACATCACAAGGAGAGCACATTTGAAACTGAGCATTTTTCTCTGTGTTGTAAGACTTATGCAGACCACAAACAAAGGACTGGATGGGTTTAGTTCACATTTTTTGGGTCAGTAGACACTCAGGTTACCTAAATATACGTTCAATACACTGTAGAAGTGGAGTTTTCATCATATGTCCACTTTAAGACTCCCAAATATGTGTTTAAAAAGACCCTAATGCGTCCTTAAGGAGCAGGTGTGGAGGAGGTAAAGCAGGGCACAGTCTGTGTCATTATTGCATAGCAGAGCGTCTTCTTCTGACAGTATGAGTGCACGTTGTTCTCGTGTCCGTCTGCATGTAGCTGACTGTACGCCGGTTGTTCTGGCTGAAGAGAGGCTTCATTGTGTGCTGTGGCTCCACTTCTCTCTGCTGTAATCTCCAGAATATGAACGAGGACAAAAGTGTCTCAGAGGGCCCATGGTCGTGGTGTAAGCCGTGCACACGTGTGGGCTGCAGGCTGCGTCAGAGGACGATGGCGCTGAGAACATGCCTGAGCTGTGTGACACACAGAGACGCCTCAGTCCTGCTCTGACCTCACGCCGCCGCTCTGCCAGCACACGGCGTGCTGTGGTGTTTGTGCTGCGATAGTCTGGCTTCACACTCGACCAAACACTGAATCATAAATCAGTGTGAAGCTCACCTCAGCTTCCCTCGCAGACACAGAGCTGTCATAGACACTGAAACCACAAACACCTTCATCACCTGCACATCACGGTGACCAACACGAGGTCTGAATATTATTGATGGCTGCTCCTGTGCTAAGGCTGAAATTACTTCTAGGTATCAGGCCGCCATACTTTATGGACCAAATGTTTCTCAGGTTAATATCTGACACGTCCCCTCCCCCGGTGGGGACCATGAATTGAATAGATCTCTGGACCTGGGAGATGGAACAGGGGCTTGTGTTGCAGTACCTCTGGGAACGGTGCGCCCTCTGGGGGCGGCACTAGCTCAGTTTGTAGGGACTTAGGTTTGGAACAGGGGAGTCACTGGTTCTAGTCCTGGTGCGGACCAAGTCTGGAAATTGGTCTGGAAGCTGGAGAGGTGCAAAATCACTTCCTGAGCACTGCTGAGGGGAGCACCCGCTTTGTGCAGCCCCCCTCACTCTGACATCTTTCCATCAGTGCATGTCAGTAAGATCGTGTGTGTGTGTGTGTGTGTGTGTGTGTGTGTGTGTGTGTGTGTGTGTGTGTGTGTTTCAGCCTGTGTGTGTGTTTCAGCCTGTGTGTGTAGCATGTTCAACAACAGAGTGTCTGAGGAGGAGCCTGTTGGTTGAAACAACACTTGTTAATAAATCTTTCACACGGGAGCTTCTTGGTGCGGATCTGGTTTTGCAGAGAACATCAGACAGCGCAGAGCTCGTTTGGGGTTGTAGCTCTGGTGACTTTTAGATTCTCTGCAGTCTTTAAACCAGCCGTCATCATTTCACGACGAGAAATCTTAGAGTGTCAGTCGACCATAAAAGGAGTCTTTATGCTCTCTGTGATGGGATCTCTACTGTCGCGAGTCTCTGAAAGTTCAGTTCAGACTCAAGACTGCAGAGAGCCTGGAGTAAATGAAGGACACCATGCAACATCAATCATAATGTTTTTATTTGGTTATAACAATCCCTTTGCAGCCTGTCGTTTCAAGCCCCCATATTTACGCCGCTGTGACGTTTCTCCTTCAATATGAATGTCGAGGAGGCGTAATGGGGGGGGCGACGTGACCCCCCCCCTGTCCCTACTTCAGAGGCGTTACAGAGGAGAGACGGGATCAGCTGATCCAGCGGGGGAGCACAGCGCTGTGTCTGTGTGTATGTGTGTGCCTGTTTGACTGTGTGTGTATGTGGAGCTCCTGCTGTGCCGTGCTTCAGCAACTCAGAAACACAATGTGAATTACGATTCATTACCAATATTACGACGCCGTTGAATCAATATGAACGTCTTAAGGCGTGATGACGACTAAGCTTCGTTACGGCATTAAGTCTGAGAAGGGCCACAGTTTACACTCTTCTGCTTGTGTGAACTGAACCAGTTTTAACATGCATTTTAAGACATTTTCCAATTAGTTTCAAACTCCTGACACTCAGGTTTGAGAGCAGAGAAACTGAAGTTACAGACGTGAACATGAAGCTTTGGTTTTCTCGCCTTGATGCACATCATGAGAACTGTGAGACTGGAGAGCAGCTTCTGCTTTTACACTCGCTCACTTCCTCTGCTTCAAAGTCAAACTGCCACACATGGCTCAGGTTCTCTGTGGTTTTTACAACGACTCACTTCCTCCTGACGATCACGTCTCCGTCACATCGTCAGAGAAACGTTCACTTCAGAGTCACCTCCACAAGCTGCAGAGTTCAACCCACAATGCACTCATGAGCATGTTTAATAAGCTCCGGTCCACCCCTCAGTCTGCTTGAAATGTAAACGTCTGTGTGACGTGTTGTTCGGCCACATTTCAAACTGAAACGTCTTTAAAGCTGCTCCGTGTGCAGCGCTCTGAGGCCTCTCTGTCTCTCTTTATGGACACGCGTGATGTGATAAGTCCCTGAAATAGTCGTGCAAAGTGTGAAACACTAGAGCGAGACGGAGACGTCGAACCAGGCGTGCACTTTGAACTTTTAAAGGAGAAATGTAATGAGGACAACAGAGACTTTCTTCACATGAACATGAAAGTACGAGAACCTGAGAGGACATGCATCCATACATTTGATTGTTCTCTGTTTTAAATGAGAGAAACTTAGTGTGTGCACCTCCAGAGAAACTGGAACAAGAAATGTACTGACAGCAGAACAAAGGACTCCACTCTCTCTATAAGCAGGGCAACGTTTGGATTGACAACATCTCCCTCAGGCCGACAGTGTGCGGACCTTTTTCTTTTCTTCTGCAGTTTCTCTCCCTTTTCCCACGATAGTGAGATATTATCAGACGTTTTCTCAAGATCTCGACCTACTTATCTCGTTGTCGTCATATAACAACACGTTTTCCCGTTAATTTTACTTGTTTTCTTGAGTTCTGCAGAAACTTGTTTTCTTGAGTTCTGCAGAAACTTGTTATCTCGGAGGAAGGCAAGCGTTGTTATCCCGGGAGAACGAGATAAAGAAGTCGAGCTCTCAGGAAACCGACCAGAGCCTCGTTGTCTCGTACTCTCAGGAAAATTTAGTAAAATCAAATGTAGGGATGAATGTCCTCTTACGGCTTCCGTTGAAGTGTTGCAGGCAAGCTCCTTCCTGGAAACTGTTTAAATTTACAGTCGCCCTCTCTCTCTTGCCCTCTCTCTCTCTTGCGGATTCAAAATTGAAATTTCTTTTGGTTTAATTATAACTGAAGATCCGAAGATCTGCATTTTTAAAGCTTTGGTACCTTTGGTTCTATAGATCAATAAAGCTCCCATATCGTCCTCATGTTCTCCTCTCATGTCGTCAGTCTGTGAAACCTTTAGAGCAGCTTTAATGATCTTATTGATCTGATACTGGAGTCAGTAAAAACCCTCATTTCAGCCTCTTTCAGCTGCTGTCTCTTTAAGGCCCACCCTCTCCTAGTGCCCACTCTCTTCTGATTGGCCAGATTTCTGGAAGCCTTCCTGGGGGGGCAGAACGCTGCAGGGCTGCCAGGGGAGGGCTGCTCTCCAGAGCTGGGAGAAGAGAGTCTATGTAAGAGGTTTCAGCGGCTTACGTAGAAGCTTGAAGCCGTCTGGTGAAATTCTTGGTTTCGTATCGGGGAACTATGGCGTTTAGCGCCCTCTGCAGACTCATCCTGGGATTACATCAACATAGGTTTACCTCATGATCTGAAGCTTTAGTTAGTTTGGACATCTAGCATTTTAACACTAAATGTGAGTTTTAAAATATTCTCTCTCTCTCTCTCTCTTTTCGTCTCGTGGTCTCTGCAGTCGACCAGGTGAAGTTCGGACCTCCACTGAGGAAAGTCACAGAACCGTATCCTGACCTGGTAGATCTCAGTTCTTCCTCTTCACTCTTTAAATATACAAATATTCACATCAGAACAACAACAACAACAGGCCGGTGTTGTGTTTCTGTGTTCAGCAGGGTTCCTATGACGACGACTGGAGTCTGTCTGGAGACGAAGACAACTCACCGTAAGACCTCCCTCTCTCTCTCTCTCTCTCTCTCTCTCTCTCTCCCTCTCTCTCCATCTCTCTGTCTCCCTCTCCCTCTGTCTCTCTCTGTGTCTCTCTCTGTCTCTCTCACTCTCTTCAGTGTGGGGAATATGAAGTTTAAGATGTAACAGCTCAACATGATGACAAAGTTTAAGTTAGCAGAAGTTTACAGCAATGATAAGTTTCACTTTTGTCTGAAGTACTTCCTGGTTATATTTCGGGACCGTCGTGAGCTCCTGTAGAATATTTAAACTAAGACTAGAATAAAAGGCCCACGCTGCGATTGAAATGAGATTAAAGGTGAAACATTGAATACAAGTCAAAGTGAGGACGGTCTGTTGAGGCTGTGTTTGTTGACTGAAATAAGAGGAATAAATCAAATATTCTAAAGACGATATGACATGTTTCAAAGAACGTCCAAACTGTCTCTTTAAATTTGAAGTTTTCAATAAATGTACGACTTTAATCTGAAAGCATCTTCACCTCGTGTTTGTCTGGTAAATGTCCAAAGTTTTTCATCGTACATGTACCGATAAAATTCACAACATTTCCAAGTAGTTCTTCAAATATACATCTCTTAAATCTCAGAACATATTCAAAACAACACGGAGGTTTTCATAAATTAGAAGCACACAGAGGAGATGTGGTCAGTAGGGGGGGCTAAAGAGGCCCATGGCCAGATAAACAGCAGGTGTTCCTGTTGCAGGAGTCTGTTGGAATGTGTGGAACAAGCCCTGCAGCTCAGGTAGGTCCCACCCGCCACCACCCGGCCTCTCTAACAGCAGTGTCTCCCCCCCCCCCTGTGATGATGTGAGTCAGTGGGTTTGTCTTTTCTCTCATCTTAAACTCCAGAGTCTTTCCCGAGTTATTTTTAAATCCAGAACAAACCCGCTGGTTCTCAGCTTTGTGGCTTCTTTTTGTGTGTTTGCTTATTTTGTTGCAGGTTTTTGTTCGTGTGCTGCTGTTAGCATCCGTTAGCATTCGTTAGCATCCTCTTGTGTCGTCCGACTTGTTGTGGTTGTGATGCTTCATTTAAAGAGGACATATTATCCCCCTTCTCCACTTTTTCTAACAGTCCCCTGTGGTCTAAATGAAACATCTGTTCTGTGCTTTGATCAAAATATAACATGAATCAAGCACCAGAGGAGGTTTGTGACCCTGAATAAACCACCTCTCTCAGAACGCAATGTTTTGGTAGACATCACTCCTTCGCTAGCGAGAATAAAAATGGCAGACCTGTGCAAAAGTTTTGTTCTAGGCTGGGGGTGGAGTCCATGGGTGGAGATACCAGGGGAGGGGAGGGTATTAATTTTACCAGATTCCCACTGTGACATCACAAGGAGAGCACATTTGAAACAGAGCATTTTTCTCTGAGTTGTAAGACTTATGCAGACTACAAACAAAGGACTGGATGGGTTTATTTCACAGTTTGTGGGTCAGTAGACACTCAGGTTACCAAAATATATGATCAAACACACTGTAGAAGTGGATTTTTCATAATATGTCCCCTTTAAAACCTCTCATGATGAGTTTTTTTATTCTATCCTGATGGAGACACTCCTGCTTTCTTCTCTTTCAGGAGTTTAACCATTCGGAGGGCGCCATCTGCTGATGTGAGTGTTACATTACATCTAAAGCTCTGTTTTTTATTGCACACTCTGCAGTGAGTCCGTCCCAAGTCTGAGCATGAATGCTCCTGAAAATCCTAGGTCTCGCATAAGATCTCCGGGAGGGCGCAAGGCTTTCTGTGCTCTGAGTTTGTCAAAATGGAATTTGCACATATTGACTAAAATGATCTGAATCTTGATAGTAAACAAAGGTCTCTTGGTAAGAATGAGTGTGTGCAGAGCTATTCTGTTGTTATTTTTTCAAATGAATACTTAAGAGGTTTTTGTTGATTTCTGTCAGCCACATTACATTTTTGGGGCTCCAAGGAAAAAAGTTTGGGAAACATGGTGTTTGATAACTCGGTCACCCGGTGGCCATACAGGGCAACCTTCAGAGACCAGGGCTTCACTTTGTTAATTCTCTGGTCTGTTTTCCAGGGAGGTAAGAAGAGTGGCTTGTTCAGCCCGTCCACAGCCTCCCTGCCCGCCTTCAGCTCCTTAAGTCCAAACACAGACAACAGAGACCTGACGCTGAGACCGAGCTGCACGCTGGGACCTGAGGCCGCCGTCACAGCTGACTCCACCTCCACTACAGGTAGGTACAACCTGTCAATCATTACAATCACTCCTTCGGGACGCGTCTCCAACATGGCGATTGTTCTGAGAGGTTAGCTGGGGTTTAGTGTGACGTTGGCTGTGCAAACCTCGGGGACTGGAGATCTGTAGCAGGGGTTAAGGGCCAAAGGGGACGGGCCTATGGTAAGATGGTTGGCGTACATTGGGAGGACAAAGAGTTGGAAAAGCTAGGCCACGTCGGGAATTTCAAAAGCAGCCTCTGAAAATCTGTCCTCTTTCTCTCTCTTGTGTTTGAAAAGTATTGTCCAGGTGCTCGGCCACACAGGACATCAGACAGCGCTGCAGTGGCCCATGTCTGCCTGCGGGGGACGCTGTAACCTCAGAGAAAAAGAGGGCTAAGTCTGTTACTTCTCCAAAGAGAGAGACGCCACTATCACCTGAATGGAGCACGCTGAGGAGGAAGACCGAGGACTCTGTGAGTTCAGACGCCTCGTGTCTCATTTCAGTGTGATCTGCTAACATAATAACGTCCTAATGAATCATGTCTGAACGAAGTTGATTTTAAAAAAATCATCTGATATCACACTTTTTATCATCCCCTGTGTTTTTTTGTTATGTGTAACCTTTGACCTTTCTAGAGGGCTGCCTGTCATGGACTCCCTCCCACCCCCCAAGTCCATGTAAGTGTGAAATCTAACAGCATGTGATCTTCAATTAAAGCTGACCAACATGACTAATGCTGCCTCGCATTGCATCACTCAAGCTGCATGCCAACTTTTTATGTGAAATCAAGATGATGATTTAAAGGAGCAGTATGTAACTCTGACACCTAGTGTTTAAAATGGGTTCTGCAGCCCAAATTCTAAACATTGTAGAGAGCTGTCTCCCCCCGCCCCCTCCTCTCTAGAGTCCATGCTCTCACAGGTCACCATGTGGTGAACACTGAAGCTTCAGTGTTTATCCAGCTCTGCATCGGTCTGTAAACCTTTCTGTGTTCTAACGTCTCTCCATTTTTCAAAAGCATCTCCAATATTGATCCTAGTTTGAGCACGTTTCTGCTCGTGGAGCTTATTAGAAACATGCAGAGGCTTTTTAGGTCGGGTACAATCACTTCTATCTGAACCACTTCTCTTGCCCGCTTCCATCACTGCAACACCTGTTGACCTGATAACTGCTCTCATATCTGGCAAACCGAGGGGCGTCCATAACGGCACTGTGGGGGTGTCTTAAAACCGCCTACATTCTCTGTCAAGTCCACACTTCAACATAGCATGTTTCCTTAATGTCTGATCATAGAGTAAGGTCACTTTATCATTTGGTGTCTTTGGAAATGTTGGCACTTGATCCCTGCTTGCTGGTGTTTTGAGTCAAAAGATCTTGCATCTGCAACTTTATGTACTTAAAGTGACTTAAAGTGTACTACATGACTTAAAGTTTTTCTATGAATACCTGTAAGTGTTGTTGGAGAGGGTCACTGTTTCCCTGTCAGATCAATAGTGTTTAATGAATTTGCTGCTTCTGTAGATGGGAGCCTGCTTCTCCAAAGTCTTCAATGGCTGTCCTCTTCAAATCCACTGTGCCGTCACCTGGATTTTACCCAAAACAAGAGGTGAGGCTGGGATATTAATTGAAGTCTGATGAATGTAGCTTTGTGCTTCAAGACAGAAAATAGAACCAGATTTACACAGACCTGAAGATGCAGACTGACACGAGGCAGAGTAAGAAGCAGAGATTGCTGTTGGTGATGCAATGGTGCAGGAAAAGAGACTGCTAAGATGATTCAAATAAAAAATCACCTAAAGGTTAAAAGGAGGCGGAACCGTGTAAACTAGATTTAACTGCATTGAGTAAATGATAGGTGATCAACATTAATTGTTAGCTATCTAAACAGTTCAAATCAACGTTGTTGTGTGTGTTATGGTCTCTTTACGTCACAGTAGAGAAAACCTAATTTTCCCTCTTTCAAACATTTTCCTGCTCAGATCAGTACCTCATTCTTGGAGCCGAGGAGGGCATCTACTCACTGAACCTGAATGAACTTCATGAAGACACGCTCGAGAAGGTAACACCGCAACTTCTCTGTCTTTGTACAAGACATGACGCTCTTCAAGACAATGGTTCTCAAATGATGTTGTCTTTCTAAACACAGCTGCTCCCTCAGCGATGCACGTGGCTGTACGTCATGAACAACGTGTTGATGTCTGTATCAGGTAACGAAAAGTCTTTGAGATGTCGATGTGGTGACAAACTCCAGAATGCGTTCTGAGACATTTCTTCCTCCTGCAGGGAAGTCCTCGCAGCTTTATTCCCACAGTCTGACGCCGCTGTTTGAACACAGAGGACATGTGCAGAAGAAACACAGCAGTCTGTCACTCAGCACCAACCGCTTCGCTGAGAGGATCAGCACCAGGTAGGACACGACGCAGAGGAAACTGTTCTCAGACCGAATGCAGAGAGTGAATCTGTGAAACCTCAACGTTAAGACATGAACAGACCTGCACACATGTGGTTTTCTGTATCAGGAAATCCTCTCAGCTCTGAGACTCTCCAGAAATGCTGGAACCAAAAAAAGGAGCTAACAAATCCTGAATTCAGACTATTAACAAATCCTCATCCTGATGTCGTTATTTCAACGTCCTTTAAACCGGATTATTGTCAAATCAGTCCAATCTGTTTATTTTGGATCAGGTCATCAAACTAGGACCTGGTACTGATCCTAGCTAACAGGTCATCAAACTAGGACCTGGTACTGATCCTAGCTAACAGGTCATCAAACTAGGACCTGGTACTGATCCTAGCTAACAGGTCATCAAACTAGGACCTGGTCAGCCTCAAGTAGCTGGAGGAAAGTTCATGCAGACACAGTTCCTGTGGGAGGAGAGAGATTTAACAAGCTGTGTTCAGGTTGATGTGATGTAAATCTGAATTCAATCATGTTTGGTTCTGATGGAGAGAACACCCTAATGACACAGAAAGTAGTGTTCTCAGGTGATGTAATGATAGAGCTGTAGGTGCTCTAGTAGTATCAAAGACATTTGTAGTTCTACCACTAGGAGGCTCTAAAGTGAGAAACTTTAAAAAGTGTCTACAGCTACAGAGATGTGTTCTGTTGTTCTTACCGAGCTGTGTTTCCTCTCTCAGTCAGAGAAAGTTCGCCGTCTCTGTGAAGATTCCCGACACTAAAGGCTGCAGGAGATGTAGTGTAGGTGAGTGATGCAAACTGCAAACTTTCCATCCACTGCATGTTCTTCATTGTTTGCACCGAAACACCAAGGAAAGTTCCTTGAATGTTTAAATCTGTCTGGCAATAACCCCACATCTGATTCTGACTCTGCATCTCTTCTTCTTCTCCTTTCAGCAAGGAACCCGTACACTGACAGTACCTTTCTATGTGCAGCGGTTCCATCCGGTCTAGTGCTGTTACTGTGGTATGAGCCTCTGCAGAAGTTCATGCATCTTAAGGTTCGTAACCAGAGGCGATGCTTGTCAACAGGCAAGGCAGGCAACTGCTTGGGGCCCAGACCAGTATGGGGCCCCTTAATGGCTCACAAACTGTTAACCAAAATGTGCACATTTCGCAATGACAGTAGGAGACCTCCAGAGGGCCCCATCTGACAGCACTCAATCTCGTTGCCCAGCTTATCGCTGCATGCATTATTGCTTTGAGAACCAAAGTTTGTCATTAAAGGTCAACAAATAAAAATGAAGAGGAATTATCCGTCTGTAGGAGAGAAAAAAGAGGAGTAAGCGTTGGGACACTGGCAGACATGATGGTGATGAACCCTGGTTGGAGGGTCCCCCAATTGATTTTGGCCTAGGGCCCCAACAGACTTCTTTGAGGGTTTCATGACACTCAGGAGCCTGTTGGGACTCTTTTTGACCAGGGGGGCAGGGCTTACTGTGGTATTGACCTATAAAAGTGGGGCACACACACACCAATGAATACACACCTATACCGTAAAATGTGATGTAGAAAACGCACTTTCGAAACCTTATTTTTCATCTAAAAGTGGGCAGCGTCCTATTGCTACAAATATACCAGAATAAAAAGGCTGTAACATGCATCATCGTGACAGCTAGCGTAGCTGCCTCCATCCTCCACTGCAGCAACATGAAATGAACAGTGAAAATTTGCCGCCGTTCATTGTGTATTACAAGTGGCTGCAAAGGCAGTGGCTGGACGCGCCCCTGATGACATTCAATGTCATGTTACATCATTTAAGATCATTAATATAAGCACTTGTATTTAATTATCAGTTTAATCAACAGTAGTTGTTAAAGTGAGTGAGCTAGTATGAAAGTGTTGACACATAAAGCGGTGTATCATTAGCATAAAGCTGAATATGGATTTTGGAGCTGGAAGAATGTGAGGGAGTTAAAACAATAATGAGATATGAGTGGATCCTTAACTTGAACAGGATTCCTTTACATTCATGTCTATTTGCTCAGACTACATTTCTAGTCACGCATTGAATACTCATCTCATCATGTGTAACTTTTATCTAAAACACCATTATCTCACCTCCAAGGAGTCACAGTTCCTCTGTTTCTCTTTCTGTGTGTGTTTCCTTCCGTTTGACTTCCAGCACATACCAATCAAGCTTCCAGACTCTCTTCCCATATTCGAGCTGCTGGTGTTGGTGACGGATGAGTTTCCTCAGCTGTGTGTCGGAGTGAGAGACTGTCCTAATGGGAAGCGGCCCGTCAGCCAACAGCTCCAGTTTGATATCATAGAGCTGAACAGCTCGCCTGTTTCTGCACCAGGTAGGATCGACTGCGTACACATGTTAGAAACCTTGGCCCTATTTTTAACATATGTTTAAAGTTTAGATGATCAAATATCTACAAACGTTTTGGAATTGCACCTGTAGGTTTCGTCACCTTGCAGCAGTGAAACAGATTGTATTGGTTGCAAGACTGCTTAGGAGTAAATGCACCAAAATACATTTCGTCCACTAAAAGTTGTAGGGATGCTTTCTGTAATGTTGTCACATACTTAGAACAACAACCTGAGCCTGTCAGAGACATAAACACCAACTTTTACATTACAGTCTGTTTACCTGCTGCAGGATGGACATAATATATTCCAGGACCTATTAGTCATTTTGAGGCCAAATTTGTTATAAGTAGTGCCAAGGTTTAAAATGTTGTTTTACGCCTTTAAATCTCTGACTCTCTTTATGCAGACAGTGGAGCTCTGATGGCAGCACAGGTAACCCAACTGGACAGAGACACCGTTCTCATCGTGTTAGAAAGTAAGTCACTTTATCTTTATCTTAAAGGTGGAGTCAGCAGCATTTTTAATTTCAGTTTGTAAACACAACATTCAAACATGGCCCCTCCTCCTGGGCTCATTGCCCCCAGAAGCTCCCACTCACTGCAGGACGTAGTGTGTACGTTTACTGCTTGTACCTACACTGAAAGCTAACGCACGCTAGCACAAGCTAACTGCCGGTGTTTGTCACCTGCCTGTCCAACAGGTAGCAGACCAACTCCACGTCAACACAAGGTTCACCCTCGTTTTAGAACGAGCTTTATCCGCTTGGTGTTTCTCCTCACTGTGATTATATTTTCTCTTCTTTGATGCTACATCCACGTCCGTCATATTCAACGGTTTGAATCTCTTCCAATCACTGAATTGTATCCACTCCTGAACTTACCTGCTGCGCTGTCATTGGCTGGAGGAAACACACCAGCTCCGCCCAGAAACATCCCGAGTCAACCAGAACAAAGCAGAATAGTAAAATCCAGTCAGAGGACAGAGTCTCTGCAGACACAGTCACCACCACACATGTACGGAGGCCCAGAAGGGACGATGGAGCAGCTTTACTTTAGGAGAAGTCTGTATTTTATTTTGAAGGAGGAAGCTGCTGACTCTATCTTTAAATCCTCTTCTTATCGTTCACACTGATTCATCATAACATGCTGTGACTCTATCTTGATGCTGATTGGACAGAAACTGTGAAGGTCGTGAACCTGCGAGGACTTCCGTCCAAGGAGCTCGCTGCTGAGATGATCTTTGACTTCCCCATCGAAACTCTGGGTAAAGAAACATCTTACAGACAGAGTAAGTGAATCAGATTTGATGTCTCAGCTGACATTTGAGTGACACGTTGTCTGTTTTTGAATCAGTGTGTTTACAGGACAGTGTGCTGGCTTTCTGGAAGCATGGCCTAAAAGGGAGGAGCTTTCATTCAAACGAGGTAAAAGATACGTATCCAGCTGGAATCCAGATGTTTTCATGTGTTCTCATTAACTTAAATTCATACTCACACCTCCTCTGTTCTTACGTTTTATGTTTCTGCAGGTAACTCAAGAAATCACAGACGAGAGTCGAGTGTTCAGAGTTTTGGGAACAAACAGGTACGTTAACATATATCTGTAAACATACACAATGAAAAGACTGAGTCAGGCAGAGGTTCTGATCAAAAGCAAAAAACAACTTTTATCTGCAACTAGTGATTGTTTTCATGTCAATAAAGTGTTTTGGTTTATCAGATGTCATAAAATGTTGAAAAATGTGAATCAAAGCGTAAGTTAACGCCCCCAAATACCAAATTTGTCCAAAATGTGAAGATATTCCGATGACTGAAAACAGAAAATATTCAGAACCATTATTTTTCTCTGCTACAGCTCGCTTGCGGGGCGCTCTTCTCTGCGTTTTAAAAAAAACAACTTACGTCAGCATGTTGCTCTGCCCCCATGGACGATCTCGGTGGTGCTGGACGTCCTTCATTGTTGCCTTTTGTTTACTGTGTCACTTCTTCTATGTTGAATTTATTGGCGGGACACATTGTCATGCTGCTATGATGTCACACTAATTTGTAGCTGACGCGGCGATCACCATCTGGTTTACACTCTGCATACCGAGTTACGGTCCGCTGTGGAAACACAAGCAAGATCAGAGTTTACCGCAGCAAACTGTACTGAACCAAACCGGACTGCTTGGTGGAAACGAGGATTAATTTTCAAGCAAACTCTGACACAATTCAAGTTTTAAAAACATTACTGATACCTGATACCGCACCTTTCAAAATGGTCACCATGACTACCGTGTTTTTATGGAGGAAACCTACGAGCAGCCAGGTGTGACATTTAAGGTGTAACTTCTGTCTCAGCTCATGCAACACCTGAAATGGTGGCTACTTTTGAACATACACAGAGCTGGTGTAACCCAGGACTGAACTCTGAACGAGCATTAATACTCCACATCTTTTTTTATTTTCCACAGAGACATCATCCTTCAGAGCACGCCGACAGACATGCCGTCTGCTCTGAGTAACCTATACATCCTGACCGGACATGAAAGCAGCTACTGAGACATCTCACACTGAAGGGAAACTTGTTCTAAAAGACTGTTGTGTGAGAATGATTCTCACAAGGAGAAGAAATGTAAAATGTTATTCCACGTTCTTAAAAAAACATCGTCATCAAAGGTTATAAATAATAGATTGTGTTGAAGAAGTGGAAAAAGTCTCTTGGTTAAAAAAAAAAATGAATGCAGATATGTCTTAAAGATGCATTCTTTCTAATAGCCAGCAGGGGGCGACTCCACAGGACTTCAGAATGAAACCCTCAAACAGACAGGTGTTAGACCTAGTCCACATGTAGGCAGGTATTTTTTAAACAGAGGTTTTCCTCCTCTGTTTTAAAAAACAATCCTGTTCACACACGCTCAGTTCTCAAATACATCTTCGTTCACATGAAAACGCAAAATGCACGGTTGTGGCTGTCATGAGCACGCCAAGTCAACAACCATGTCCTTGACGTGAACATTTTCTCACCATGCCTCCACAATGACCATTTAATTTTCAAAGTTTTCCCATCAACCCGAAGTCCCACTGGGTCTTGTCCACGGCTCATTGGGGTTTATGTGGTGGGAGTGTTGTATGAAGCAGCAGTGACCTCCGTCGTCCAATAAGGTGTCTCTGCTCATCAACATAGTGGGAGAGTAACTGTGTATGTGTGAGCATGTAAAAAGTCCAGTTAGCAACGTTAGCACCAGCGCTAGTTTGGTTAGGTCTGCCATCGCACTAATCTCATGTAAACTGAAGTGACTGCATCGCACGATGACGTCACGATGACGCCACACAGCGTGACGTCACAAGAACAAAACTCTGTTTACCCCGTCTACACAGAAACACCTTAAACAGAGTTTCTGAACATCTTTGAGTTTCACTAAAGGACAGTTACCAGTGAGCTAAAACGCTGTTTGCGTACGAAAGTCCAAAATGCAGAGAAAAAGCTATGTGTTCTAAAATACCCACCTACGTGTGGACGAGGCCTCAGACTCTGGATTTGTCCCCTTTAAACCGTGTGAGTGATAGTTTGTTCATCAGTCTGACTGTTACAAAGAAACAGGACGCTTGTTTAAATGTATTCTTACTCTTATCATATAATTCTGAAAACCATGAATGTGCGAGCGTAGCAGCGTTTACATTATGTGCCACCATGTTGGGAGAGCGGGGAATGTGATTGGTCTGTCCATCGCTGTCAGTGACCTTTAAGTGCCATAAACAGATTCATCTTGTGACTCTCGTCCATCTTATGTTTGAACTAATCATGTGTTCACAGAATCTAAATGTGTATTTGATTAGAGGAGGCGTCAAAGAAACTGGATTCAACTAAACCTGCTTGTTTGGCTAAAATCAAAAATATAAACTCACTACAGTCAGATGTGTGTGTGTGTGTGTGTGTGTGTGTGTGTGTGTGTGTGTGTGTGTGTGTGTGCGTGTGTGTGTGCATTGATATTTATGTTAAGGGAAGCGTTTCAATAACACTCACGTTTCCCTGAGATATACTTGAAGAGCATCATATGATACAGTCATTTGTTTTTTTAATGATGATTTTATTATTTGTGTGTACATTTCATGTATATAACACAGTAAACTTTTACATGATGTAATGGGTTGTATTATGCAAAATAAAGATTTTAATATCCTCTAAATTGACGTTGTTGTCATGTTTAAGAATCCCTTATGGTCACAGTAAGAGCCACAATATATGTATATTTTATTTAACCTGTGTTTCACCATGAAATAATTTCATTGAGACTGAATCTATCCATCTATCTATCATCCATCCATCCATCTATCTATCATCCATCCATCATCTATCCATCATCCATCCATCCATCCATCATCCATCCATCAATCCATCCATCCATCCACCTATGATGTGTTGTTGCAGTACATACTTCCGAACAGTAGGAGGCGGTAATGAATTAGGAAGTGGAAGAAAAGACGCGGCAGGAGCTTCGTCATTCCACTTTTCATTCATTGGTGTCGAGGCCTACGTCGTTTCAGAGGTGGGTTTGCGGCCTTTAAAGTTAAATAAACTTCGTGTAAACGCGTTTGAATGTGTTTATTTTAAGTGGATTATCTTCTAACAGATTTATTTTGAGAAAGAATGTTCACACCGGAAGTAGCGCGCAGGGCGAACGATAGCTTGTAGAATGTTAGCTTTAGCCAGTTAGCTCACATATTAGTTTCATGAAAATAAACGACATTGTTGGCCAAATATAAAGTGTATACGCAAACAGGCGTTTTAATGGGTCAGGGCTTTAGTAAGACTTTAAGTAGTAATAAAAACACGATAAATGATAATAACGTCGATGTAGGGCATGATAGCTGACGTAAGGCGTTTCTACGACTTGTTTGGCTTTCAGCGTAAACAAACATAACTGTGTTTAGTTTTAACATCTAGATTACGAGGAGGGCGGAGATTCTTAGTATTTTTATTAAATGTTAACCTGTAAATACACTTTATATCTATTTAAAATGCGTCGAAACGCTCCTCGGTGTTACGGTTTAAAGGGTTCCCGTGTTAAATGGTGACTTTGCGTCTGTCGTTGTCGTGGTTACAGCAGATGTCGAAGACAGAAACTGTCCTGACGGATGTTTAAATGTCTAAAAAAAAATATGTTTAAGTTGCCTACAAATTACAACTACAAATAATTAAAGTTAATTTCTGTTGAGAAAAGTCGCGTTTTCCTTCTAATCAAAGTAAATAAATAAATAAAAGTAAAATCTTGAGTGTTGGTTGTACAGAAGCATTTGACACATTTTTTTTAAAATCTTCCAGGAAACACGGACCATCATCATGGTGAAAATTTTCATCGGCAACTTGGCGTGCAACGCCACAGCAGATGAACTGCGTGAACTCTTCGAGAAGTACGGCAAAGTCACAGAATGTGACATTGTCAAAAACTACGGTTTTGTGCACATGAGCAACACGTCTGAGGCAGAGGAGGCCATCCAAAACCTCCACCAGCAAGAGCTGCACGGCTGGCGCATGAACGTGGAGATGAGCAAAGGGAGGCCCAAGTCCACCACCAAGCTGCATGTCAGCAACCTCGGTGAAGGCGTTGACACTGAAGTCCTGAAGGCCAAGTTTGCAGAATTTGGCCCGGTGGTGGAGTGCGACATAGTGAAAGACTACGCCTTTGTGCACATGGAGCAAATGGAGGACGCCATGGAGGCCATCGATAAGCTGGACAACACAGCCTTCAAAGGTGAAATCTTGAGCAGGGGGAGCTAGTTCTCTTCTGCTGTTTGTAGTTCTGTCATCGTAGAGCTCTCGTAAGAAGTGAAATCCTCTGAATGATATTTTGAAAACACAGGTGGACTGAAAATAATCCCTTTAAGTTTGTTAAACCAGTTGCAGTGAATCCGGTGAATGCGATGCAATGGCATTAAATCCCCTGCACCTGGCGCGGCCGGGTATCTCGCTTCGCTCTGTGATTGTCCGTCAAATGTATTAAGGTGTTTAATAGTCGGTAAGAAGCTTTCCGTGTCAGATTCCCTCGGTCTCATGCGTGTCTTCTCTCTCCTCACAAGGCAAGCTGATGAGTGTACAGCTGTCCACCAGTCGGCTTCGCACCGCCCCGGGAATGGGAGATCATACCGGCTGCTATGTCTGCGGGAAACATGGTCACTGGTCGAAAGACTGTCACATCAGTCGGAACGGTAGAGACGGTGATGGCTCAAGAGGTCGCAGGGGCCCCCCACGCGGTCCCCCAGGTTATGGCAGGGAGAGCTACGGAAATGCCCCGCCTCCTCCAGATGATTACATGGGTGGCTATAGTCGGGCGAGTTACGTAGGTGGGATACCGCCTCCCCCTCGCAGACTCAGCGGCTACGGTGCTGAGCTTGGGGATCGGTACGCAGGCAGAGTGGCAAGCTCCTATCCTGAGAGGCCACCGGCTTATGATCGTGAACGCCTCTATAGCAGTTATGACTACTATGAGAAGTACAGAGCTCGCCCTTATGGCTCGAGCTATTTCGAAGATCGTCGCATGTCCTATATCCCCCCTTCCCCTCCTCCTCCTTCCTCTCTCTCAAAGCTTCCCTCCAGTTTAGATCCATACGACCGTCGCCCTTTGCCTCCTTCATCGGCCTCCGCAGCTGCCGCTTACTATGCACGGGACCGCAGCCCGATCAGACGAGTACCCGTGTCCTCGGCAAGCTACGCCTACGAGCGAACACGCCTTTCTCCTGTGTCAGCCGCCAGGAGCTCCTACGCTGCTCCACGACCCAAGGATCACTACACGCCACGCTACACGCCTTACTGAAGCTGAGGTGCCAAGGTGAGCAACATCATACACAAAGTATGAGGGACATGAACTGTGAACGATGGTCAGCGGGCAATGTGAACTCTATTTGGATTGTTTTGGTTGTTTTTTTTTAGAATAGGTATCAGTTGGATTATAGGATGTGAATAAGGTTGTTAGAAACACCTGCAGCTTTGTCACTGTTTGGCAACGTTTTGAAATTTGAATTAGTTAGATAACACTGATAGCAGCAGTGTTTCTCTAGGCCAGTAATTCTAGACCTCTGGGTCCTGACCTCCCTGGGGATTATGGGAGATAATTTCTGGGGTTTTTCCAGAATATTGTGTAGAAGAAGAAAAAAAATGATATTCTTATTTTTAGTTTTAGTAACACGTTTTTGACTTGGGGTTGCACTAAAGTGCCTGTATTAGTGATATAATTAGGAGGCTGTTTCTGCAGTAGTAGTGTTAACACACATGTCACCCCACACCCCTCATGCTTGCTGTGTGAGTGACTGCTGTCAGCCCTATCTTTCTTTTGAAGTTATCCATAAATTTAGGCCATACGTGGGAACACCAGAGCTTTTATTATTGGGGGTCGTGACTCAAAAAGGTTGAGACCCACCGGTCTTTGTTATCAGTGTTTCTGAGCTGACATGTCAAGCCGTTCATACTCATCCCTCATGTGTCCATCCTACAAATAAGTGCTGTGAGCTAATGAGGGATCAAACCGTGTTTCTAATATGGAAATAATTTGCTTTCTTTCCAGGTTTGTTTGTGAACTTCAGGACTTTTCCTTCGTTGTCATTTTTTTCAAGCTTCAGGATTCCATCAGCAGAGAATAAAGATCTGGAATGAGATTTTTCAGGCACCTGAGACGCCAGTAACCTGTAGACGAATCATCTTTTCAGATGCATAAAGGTTTGCAAACTGCGTTGACACTTGTGATGTATAAAAACAATAATTCACTCACTTTTTTTTTTTTTTTAGAGTTTTTTTAACGTCTTACATGTTTCTTCCTCACATGAACTGTAGAGAAAGTGAATAGTTTGGCTTCTGTTCATGTTTGGTTGATGTATGTGAACATTGACTTTTGATCGAGATGAGGGATATCTTTTTCTGTTTTGAATCTTATCTTCCTTCATGGCCTCTGACTTGTCGGTTATATCGATGGATGTTTTTACAAAAATGCTGAGAAAGTAAAAAGATGAATCCAGAGTCTTCGGTTTGGATCTGTTTTAAAGAATCGATCTAAAACATTCCAGCCTCTTAATTTTTTTCTCTGACTACAATGTGTGTCTACAGAATATTCAGCATCATTTTCAAAAACATCTTTACATCGTTAACTCTCAGCTGACAACGAACAATAAGCTTTCTTGTCGTTCGTTCTTGTCTGGGGTGGATGTGCACCGTCTCTGAAGCGGCGATAAATAAACAGAAATGTGAGGCAGGACTCTGGCCGTTTAAGTCAGGAGGACGTTCCTGTGTTTTGATAAAGATGCCTTTGTTTGTTTTGCATATATTAAAGGTGGATTTGAAGTTTGTATTTTTCATACTAGCTGTTAAAGCACCGACACAAATTCAGAAAATCTAAAATGGAAATGATTTTTAATAAAGCCAATGTTGTTTTGGTGATGTTGACAGTTTGTACTTTCTTTGTTTGTCACCAACTTTGATTTTGTTTCACTTCAGTTTTAGTTTTAATGGACGAAACTGAAAAACAAAATTTCTAATTTTCCTTAGGAGGGTCAGGATTTTGGTTTCAGAGCTTTGTTAAAGGAGCAACATATAACTCTGAAACCTAGTGTTTAAAATGGGTACTGCAGTCTAAATTCTAAACATTGTAGAGCGTTGTCTCCCCCCCGCCCCCTCCTCTCTAGGGTCGATGCTCTCACAGGTCACCATGTGGTGGACACTGAAGCTTCAGTGTTTATCCAGCTCTGCATCGGTCTGTAAACCTTTCTGTGTTCTAACCTCTCTCTATTTTTCAAAAGCATCTCCAATATTGATCCTAGTTTAAGCACACCCCCTCCCCAGAATAAAATATATCATGAGGAATACAAGTTGTCTTTTCATTTTACACACAGCATACATTGACGCCAACGGATTAGTGCAGTTTAGACAGTGTGCAGGAGTTTGCCTTCAAAAATTGGGGGTTAAAAACAAGAAATTGCACGAATGTTTGGTGTGTAGGACTTCTACTATTTTACAATCTGCAATAATGAATAATGAAGTTTGCTTAATGAAGCGACCTACCCAGCAGCACATGAGAAGGTCTACCCGGGGACAGCTCTAATGGCGGTCACTTCCAGAGACGCTAACACTGATCTGAAGCATTAAGCAAAATTGTGCACAAAACTCTCAGCTGCGTACTGAAAGCCCTTTCAATACGTGACATTTGAAGGCTGTTTCAAACCCCTGGCTCCAGAAATGTTCACTGATGGAATCCAGAGGTAAGTCAATCGAGTTAAGACGACAAGCAGCCATCGCAGGGCAGACATGGATCATATTTTAAATGATTTTAACACGTTTTTAGGAATGTAAAGTTATCCCCTGACACACTGCTGTTTCTCTGTCCTCGTTCTTTCACTGAGAACGAGTTTAGAAAAGAATGAATTATGATGATTAATACAAATAAAAGTCTTATCAAATCTCGAGGTAGGGAGGAGCCAGCAGAAGAGATTTTATCTAAACGAGTAACAATAACCAAGGAGGATGGGGCATGTCAGTTTTCATAATTTGATGTATTTTTTCTTTACCTTCCAAACTACTGCTACACACCACAAACTGTAAATACTACACACCACAGACTGTAAATACTACACACCACAGACTGTAAATACTACACACCACAGACTGTAAATACTACACACCACAGACTGTAAATACTGCACACCACAGACTGTAAATACTACACACCACAGACTGTAAATACTACACACCACAGACTGTAAATACTACACCACAGACTGTAAATACTGCACACCACAGACTGTAAATACTACACACCACAGACTGTAAATACTACACACCACAGACTGTAAATACTGCACACCACAGACTGTAAATACTACACACCACAGACTGTAAATACTACACACCACAGACTGTAAATACTACACACCACAGACTGTAAATACTACACACCACAGACTGTAAATACTGCACACCACAGACTGTAAATACTACACACCACAGACTAAATACTACACACCACAGACTGTAAATACTGCACACCACAGACTGTAAATACTACACACCACAGACTGTAAATACTACACACTCCAGTCCGGTAGGTGGCGGTAATGCACCGTTAAGCTGTTTTGCAAACCGCCAGTTAAATCCATCGCAGAAGAAGAAGCGAGGGGACGCATCCCGGTGTTCATCATTTCATACTAAGGTTGCAGCTTTCCGAGGTAAGAATTCACGCTCTACTTTATCTGCATTTACCAAAAGACGCCATTATAACAAAAGCAGCCCTTTCATCCGGGTTATCTCCGTCTGAATCAAAGTGACGTCATGTCAAACTGGATGTGAATGCTAAGCTAATATTAAGACGGACAAGCTAACGGCGTGCTACGTGTTTAGATTACTGAAAAACGTGGAAACGCTTGTTACGTAACTTCGCCACAGACACGTTAACCTCACGGTGATCTAAACTGATGAGTTTTAATGACACAGTTCCAATAAAAGCAGCCAGTGTAGGTAATGTTATCTGCTGAAGCTAATCATGACTCGCAGCATGTGAGAGAGAGAGAGAGAGAGAGAGAGAGAGAGAGAGGTGCTAGAAAGTGGAAATGAAGAGAAACTATTTGTCTGGAAGAGGAAGAGCACCGGGATACTGGTAGATATAATAGAGGTTGGAGGGGCCCCCTATAAATGTTTGCCCAAGGCCCCAACAGACTCGACCATTGCCACTGCTTCTGCTTGTTTTTATGAAGTAATTAATGGATGAAAACCAACACAAAACTTATTAGCAGTAGCCACAGAGAAACCTCTTAATTCTGCAGACACACTTCAACATATTCAGTGCGCTGTGTGTATCTTTATTGATCCCCCATTTGAGGAAATTAACACAAAAGCTCGAAAGGCAACAACCATAACAGTGTAACCAATTCGAAATGTGAAATAGAGGAAGAAGGAAATACTTCAAACATATGGCAATAATAATAACAGTATTCACATCTACTATTATTTTGTTTCACATTATTTTCATGAAACTTAAACAAACTGCTGTTTGGCCATGCCTCCTCCATCCTGAAGCCTCCGCTCTCCTCCAGAGACACACCTCCAACACCCCTGCACTCTTTTATTGCACGAAGGAGTTACCTAATGATACGCACCATAATTGAGTGCAAGCGGCAGACAAAATGGTCCTTTGCTCGAGCTGCAATCTCCTGTGTCCTGCATTGTTGTCTTAGCAATCTAATGTTAGCTCTCTTTAGTTAGCTCGTAGCTTCACATTGCACATAAACTGACACAGAATGAGCGTGATCTAAAAACTCTCACTAACATCCAAATAATCAGTGAGTATGTTCTTCTTGACTAAAACAGCTTTTATACACAAGGGGAGGAGCCGGCCGTCCCGTCCATGTAAACACAGCTCTGACAACAATACAGCCAGCGGGACTCGAGCTTCTCCCTCATTGTAGACAGTCATGACTCAGAGACACATTTACACAGGATACACTGGATTAATGATATATTTATTTGTGACAAGTTTCTCTCCTCTTTCAGTGACCTGAACGCTCCAAAATGGTGAAAATATTCATCGGGAACTTGGCCCAGGAAACCACATCAGATGAACTTCGCTCTCTCTTCTCCCAGTATGGGAAGATCGCAGAATGCACTATTGTCAAGAACTTTGGCTTCGTGCACATGGACGACAAAGCGGAGGCAGAAGAAGCCATCAGTAACCTCCATCATTACGAGCTCAACGGTCAGCCAATGAATGTAGAGCTGAGCCGAGGCAAGTCGCGAGGATCGGCTAAACTACACGTGGGGAACATCGCCTGCACCAACCAGGAGCTGAGGGCCAAGTTTGAGGAGTTTGGAGCTGTGTTGGAGTGTGACATAGTCAAGAACTACGCTTTTGTTCACATGGAGCGAATGGAGGACGCCATGGAGGTCATTAGTCAGTTAGACAACACAGCGTTTAAAGGTGAACTTTCAGGCATTTACCTTCAAGATACTGTATCAAGAATATTAAATTCTGAACTTGTGAATTGACGGGTAAGTTTTGGATCCATTGCAGGTAAGTAGACGGAGACTGAGAGGTAACGGTAAGATGAAGACAGTAAGGCAGCCATGATTACTTTAAAGCTGGTATCCGTAATCTGGTCGGTAAGTAAAGTCTGCGCAGCGTTTGAAGTCATGAATAATATTTGAATTCTTTAAACCAAAGCCCAGCAGCAAAGGGTAACCACCACCAAATAGACACCAATTGCACATTAATCTTTAATTCGTGTTTGATCATTTATGCAGTAATTGTTTTGTCTGCACACTCTAACCTGATAGCTACTAGTTATCATGTAAGCGGTCAAATTACGTCGTATTGCATGTTTAAAATGAGTTGGCATCAACCTGCGTCCTTTGCAGGATAAATTGAACACTACACGAGCGCCACTTTCTGGAGAGAAACATGCGGAAAGTTACGGATTTCAGCTTTAATGAATATTTTTAAGTTATGCTTTCTTGCTATTTTGGGATGTTTAGAAGACTGGTTCTGTTAGGAAACGTTTTTGTTCAAAGCACGAAATGTGACAGATATGATTTGGAATCAATGCGGGTATAAGTCCTTATTGAGTCTTTTCTTTTAAAGGCAAACTGATGAGCGTGAAGCTTTCGACTAGCCGCCTGCGTACTGCGCCGGGAATGGGAGACAGATCGGGTTGTTATCGTTGCGGGCAGGAAGGCCACTGGTCCAAAGAGTGCCCTCTAGACCAAAATGGCTACCACAGAAACGGCTCAGAGCCAAACTCTGATGGATACGATGCCTCGAGATTCGGCGGGCGTGGTCGCAGCAGGGGTTATCATCCGGACTTCAGCGTCGAGCCAGATTACGGCACAGGCTACGCTCCTGTTCATGGTTTTCCACGGGGTGCTGCTCACAGCAGCGCCATGGCAGGGTACAGAAGGAGCACGGGCTACGAGAGTGCAATGAGATACGGGCCGCCCCCGGGTTACGGCATTAGTGCTGGTGCTGACCATAGCATGGCTCGGATGTACGGCAGCGAAGCAGCTTACAGGACTAACAGCTCATTCTATGGCGCGGTACCTCCCTATCCCATGCGGCGGTCGCCCTACGAGGAACGGGATCCGTACGGTGTCGTGGACTACTACGAGAAGTACAGGGCCAGTTATTATGAAGATCGTCGCGCTGTTCCCATGCCTCCTCCTACAACCTCCTCCACGGGTTTAACGAGGGAGCGTCTGCCCCCCTCTAGCCACGACCTTTACGAGTGTCCTCCCTTCCCTCCTCCACCAGCCCCCGTCTCCTCATATTACCCACGTGAGCGGAGTCCGATTCGGAGAGTCCCTGCCGAGGCAGATGGATACACATACGAGCGCTCGCGCCTTTCCCCGGTGGCCGCCCTACAGAGAAGTTCTACCTACGAGGTTCCGCGGGATCAGGGTGCTGAGCGGGCACGATATGCTTACTGAATCTTGTCCCATGAAATCTGGGGAGAGCTTGGTGACTTCTAGTGGGGGGTAGGGTAGCCGAAGTGCCATTGGTATCAAACATTATATCTCATTGGTAGGATTAGCGGTACCAGTCAGATCTCTGCATGTAAAGCGTGTGGGCTGTAAGAACTTAGCTTAAAAATCCAAACCGCTTCTGAGTAGTCATTCCAGGTTCAAATAAAAAATGCAGTAAGTCCTTAAAAGCTTTTGTCTTCTTTCTGTGTTGTTGTGTTAGTGCAGCTCTGAGAGAGTCTCGCCTTATTTTAGATGTTAATTCTTTTATCGAGGACCTTCTTGACGAGTGTAGTTACGTGTTTATTAGGAAGACTTAGTTTGTAGAAACCAGTTACATTAGTGCATGTCTCGAGGTGTTTTCAGACTATACAGCAGATTTCTCCACACACAAAGACAATGCAAACATATAGGATTGTACTTTGTGAAACATATCGGGAACACGTCGTTTACCAAGTTGAAGAAGTTTAACTAAATTGAGAAATTAGCATGAAGCTGTTTTGCAAACGTCTTTTAAGTTCTGAGCTCCTCATGTCCTGAGATTGACCAAACCTCTCTTAAAAAAAAAGAAGAATTTTTTAAGTTGTTTGCTTGACGTCTTGCAGACAGAATTGACATCCAGACTTTTGACAAATCTGCATCTTGATGTTGTTTTTCTTTAACGTTATTTTCTCTTTATTGCATTTAAATCTGCAGAATCTGTTTGTTTTGGGTTCATAGCGCTTTAATAAGCCAGATTCAAGCCAAGTTTTGACCTGCAAGGAAGGGTGCCAAAATTTTTTCCGGTACTTCTATACTTTCTGAAACAACATTTTAGAACTATTCGCTGTCGAGACAAGACCAAGACCATAAATATCTCTGAAAAATCATCATCTTGGATGCCACTCACCCATAACACCGGGAAGGTTGAGGCAGTAACCACAGGCTAAAAATCAAACTATAAATGAATTGAAGTTATTTATTCTTTTAAAAAGAGACGTTTTCCTTCTAATCACAGTTATGGTGGAAAAATAGATCAGTGGTGATCTTGACCGGTCTTGAGTTTAAACCCACAGTCCGCCTGGTCTGAGACCGAGACCTTCAAAAAGTGGTCTCTCGAGACCAAGACTGATTTCAAGTACTACAATAGTAATCTTCAGTCATAGCGTGCAGCAGTTTGTCTGCAACTTTTATTTATTAAAAATCCAGAAAACAAGTATTGGATGCCTCAGACTTCTGTTTTTGTTGCCGTGGTAACACAACAGGTGTCGATATTGTTTAATTTTTACGATAAAAACAAATTGAGTTTTTAAATTCTGGTATCGTGACGGCCCTACGTGCTCGATAGCAGAGAGATACGGAGAAGGTTTCTTAAAGTGTTATGAATCCAAACAGGACTTCAGATTGCCGCTGTATGTGAAAGGGCAAATATTTGGTAGTTGTGTTGAAAACCGTGAGCAAACATAAGTGATCCTTTTGGTCAAACTTGCGTTAGAAAACAGATGAAAAATTGCTACACTTTCAGTTGAAATACACTTCAAGGGTTACAATTTCCTTAGCAGTATGTCATGTATTGATCTGTGCATTTAAGTGTTTTTTTTACAACTTTAAACCAGGCGTTTTCAGACTGAGAGGTTCGTTTTTGAGATCACACGACTGCTGGAATAGCCAGCGGGTGGTTGGTATACTCGCATTACATATTGCAACACGGAGGATTGCTTGGTCGTAGCTGTTGGTTTGTTTTGCCTCGTGGGAGTTCAAAAGAAGAGACTTCTTTCTGAAGCAGTCGGACTTCATCGCTGGCCTCTTTTATTTGTGTTTCGGTCCAGACTACCAAGCTTTTGTAGGAGTTTGAAAGCTCCCATATCGTCCTCATGTTCTCCTCTCATGTCGTCAGTCTGTAAAACCTTTAGAGCAGCTTTACATGATCTTATTTATCTGACACGAGTCAGTAAAAACCCTAATTTTCAGCTGCTGTACTTTAAGGCCCCCCTCCCCATGTGCCCACTCTCTTCTGATTGGTCAGCTCTCTGGAAGCCTTCCTGGGGAGAACAGAATGCTGCAGGGCTGCCAGGGGAGGGCTGCTCTCCAGAGCTGGGAGAAGAGAGTCTATGTAAGAGGTTTCAGTGGCTCACGTAGAGGCTTGAAGCCGTCTGGTGAAATTCTTGGTTTCACATCGGGGAACTATGGCGTGATTTACAGAATAAGTCGTTCAGCGCCCTCTGCAGACTCATCCTGTGACTACATCAACATGCGTTAACCTCATGATCTGAAACTTTGCCCACGTTTAGTTTGATCATCCAGCATTGTAACTCTATATGAGAGTTTTAAAATCCAATTTCTTGCCGGTTGAACCCCTGGTCTGAAAACGCTTTTGTTACATGTTGCATTATGTGAAGCTAAAATCGTAGAAAACTGTGCGCTTCATCGTCTCCTCTGTTTAACCTGTGAACTGTCGCTCTTTTACCAAATATGGATCTGCACAGTAGTAAAAATAAAAATAAAAAAACACATGGTTTCCTTTCTGTGACTGGGTAATATCAAACCTTTTTGTGAAATAATTTTTCTGACGGTGCATCCTGATCATGTTGTTTTTGTGACACATCAGTTAAGAAAATTCACTTTCATTGTTGTAATAAGTGTGAAGTTTCATATTAAACAATTTAGTTTCATGATTAAAATGACCTCTGATGCCTTTCGTGTACGTCTTGATTTTCTAACCATTTCAGTGACATTAAAATTCTGTGCATCTTCAATCTGAGGAACGTGACCCGTGTCTTTGGATATACTGTCTCATTGAAGGCAAGGAAGATGTCACAATAGTCAATAAAAATACATGTGTGGGTGGCGCCGGTGACCTAGTGGTTGTGACGAGTTCCATTTGATCTCAGAAGTTGGCTTTTCCAAGATGCTAGTCCCATATGTCATCGGTAACGCCCCCTAAAGTTTGAACTCCAACTCAGCCACTCGGAGGATCTTCAGTATAAGAGCTCAAAATACAACATGGCTGCTCCGTGCATACTAAATGTTTTTTATTTTTAATGTTGTATAGTTACTCATTTAAGTAGCTTTAAGTGGAAACAGAGAATAATGTCACAAATTTACCAGAATAGCCCTGTAGATGTTATTTATTTTATTTTACATACTTTTCACACACATGCACAAGCAGGACTGGGGACATGTTAGGGCACTAGAGGGGTTTGGGATGTGGTGTATTGCTCAAGGGCACCTCTGCAGTCCTGGCACCTCCCCAACAACCAGACTAACTTCCATATTATGGTTCTGCATCTGGAATGAAATGTCGAATCTCCGGTTTCCAACCCAAGTCCCTATGGACTGAGCTACTGCCGCGATTGAGCTAAAGGCCTTTTTAAAACCATCCTGAGTACCTGGACCGGGATCATACGGTGGTTTGAGGGATACCAGAAGCGCTCCTGTTGTCTCTCTTTCTAAAATAAATACACATATCTATGTTTTCTTGTCCTGTGAGTTTTGCACATCTATCATTGCACATGAGATTATTAAACAGATCGTTTTCCACATTATGTCAATTCAGTGTTTTTACTGAGATAAATATTGCACATTGTTTTGCACTGTGAGGGAGTCAGCTGGTGCTACTAGTCTCACAGCAGCTAAGAAGATGTTATGGAACCGGACTGTGGAAATATATCATACAAAATAAATAAATAGTTCCTTAATAATTAATACCTACATTTCTGAGTGGGGAATTATGGGGGCTATAAATGTGCTTTAAAGGAAAAGCATCCGGTAGCTCTATAACAGGATTGATGGTCATTTCAGCCTATCAGCTTGAAGGATGAGGATAACGACAGATTTTATTAAACCAGTCATTTTAAGTGGGAGGGGCTTCGTTTGGCCAATAGGAACGCCTTTCTACTTCAGCGGATCAACCTACAGCCAAGGAATCATCTCTTTGTGGATCTCTCGACGGCGCCATTTTGCGAAGTTTAACGTGTAAGGGGTATTTGTTGGGCACACTTTTATTGATTACTCTTCATTTTGGTAAATTTATACATAAATTGCAGACGTTGAAAGGTGAGTAGGCCATAGGAGTACACCGAAAATGGCAACGGGAGCAAATGCAACTCCGTTAGGGAAGTTGCACCCCAGCATCGGCGCTAAACGGGGATTTGATGCGGGGCCTGGTGCGGGCAACGGGCTGATGCCGACACCGGGGCCGCCTGCCTCCTTCCCGGCTCTGCAAGTATTTCAGCCCCCAATGCCGACCGCCGCTTTCCCGCAGTTCAGTCCGGCGGCAGGGTTTGCTGCCCCGCTCCCACAGCAACAACTCCCGTCGGTCGTGTCCGGACCAGGTGAGTGACCTGAGCGACCGTTATACGCTTTTGGAGGTAGCAGCGGCTAACGAGCTAACGATGCTAATGTGGCTAATGATCACGAAATGGAGACAACCTGTGTTATTGAGGGGCTAACTTTAACTAACTGTGGTTACTTTTGTTGCATCTTTAATGTTAATATAACAAACACATCGTAGAGGTAACGTCACACAACACGTATGAACACAAACAATACGACATTTGAAATGTATTAGTAAGGTACCGATATTTGTGTTTATAATAATGCCGTATGAATGAAATTAAAAACTGATGAACAACATCAGCTGAACCCTCCTAGAGCAGAGGTTACCAAACTTTTCAGCTCGGGACCCTCAACATCAGAGACCAGGGTCCCCCGATGTCCCGGCAGCGGGTTAAGGCGGTTAACGTCGCACACTGATGATGTAATGCAAACAAAAGGAAACACCAGCATTAAAACCATAAATCTGGTTATTTATTATAACTAAGGCTAGAAGCAGAACACACGTAATCTCCATGTTTAGACTTTTTCACAGAGTGGACAAAGTCAACTTATTAAACAGACACTCAGGTGTAAAGAGAAGCAGACACCTGCATCTAAACATTTTAGGTATTTTAACATCTTCAGTTCATGTAATGGTGTGGTTTTATTTGAAATTAAACTACTTTAATGTCTGTATTATCACAATAATTGGTCAAATATACATTAAAAAACCTCTGTGTTTCTTTTTCTTTTTTAAGACAGGTTTCATTTATTCCTAACCTACAGCCAACATTGACTTTTTTAATGTGTTTCTGTTTCTCTCTGTAGATTTTGGCTCGAAGAAACAAAGGAAGAAGAGTCGCTGGAGCAGCGAGACGCCCGATCAGAAGACGGTCATTCCGGGCATGCCCACTGTCATTCCCCCCGGCCTGACCCGGGACCAAGAGAGAGCCTATATAGGTAAATATTAAATCAGTACCTGCTTCTAAATTCAACTTGCTATTTAAATTACAAATGCAGTTATGTTGAATAATGTGTCTCACATCTGTTTGAGGTTCTAGTTTTCTTACACATCACTGTAAATGTTATTTCCTGTTTTCTGAATTCCCAACAGTTAGAACTGTAAAAGACACGAGACATGTTTCTGATTAAATTTAACCCTAACACTGATGTGTTACACATACTGGAAAAATGTCTAATTGTTCCAACTGTTGAGAGAAAGTAATTCTTCCTGATGATCATGGATGATTTTAATGTGATGTCAAATGTTAACTGGGGTCATTTCTCTTTCAATGGAAGTGAGATTTTTCTGTGGTCTTCTGGTTTGCATACCACTGACTGGGCAGCCATTAGCAAGACGAGTTATAGCTAGATGATTAAACACCACTGCTTGCTGCTATTTGTCCCCGAGCTGCAGGTCACTGCTCACTGTCTTTGCCTGACCCCCCCCCCCCCTTACACACATCATCAGTATTGTTCTTGTGCATGGAGGCGTTTACCCATAATGTCCTAATATGCTGAAGTGTGCTGCTGTTTCTCCTGAGTGTGAGCAATGCTGCTTCAATGGCTTTCCAACATTTGACTATTCTCTTACTGGGCAATGCAAGATGTGAATCACTCTTTAATGTGCTTTGATTTTGGCCTATTTCAAAATAATCATATTTAACAATGAAGCTTTTAACAGAGATGTTCTGATACCATCTGATCCGTCTTTAAACTGAGACGATCCTGTGAAGGCTTTTTTTTTTTAAAGATTTATTTCTGGGGAAACAAGTTGATTATTTTTTTTTTATAGGGGACTGACAAATATATCTATTTTTTAATCTTAAGTGAGAAATATGATTCATATGATTTAAAAGCCCTTTTCAGACTGCTTTTTTGGCAAACGTGCCGTAACTAAGCTCAGCCGCCATCACGTATTGATTCCGTGACGGTGTACTATTGGTGTCCCAGTCTATGAGGTCACATTGCGTTTCAGCGTTGCAGAAGCACGACACAGCGAGAGCTCCACGTACACACACAGTCAGATATGCGCGCACACACACAGCGCGTGGGGTCACTTCGTCCCCCTATGGCGCCTCCACGACATTCAGATTTAAGGAGAAACGTCACGGGGGTCAATATGGCGTCTTGAAACGACGGTCTGAACAGGGCTAAAGTCTCTGTTCTTACAAATTGCATCTCATCGGCGTAACATTCGCTACAGTGTTGCAGAAGCTTGAGAGGTACGGCATTTAAACGCACAGCAGAAGCTCCACATATACAAACACAGCGCTTTTCCGCCTGGCCTACCCCAACGTTACACGTTCTCAGTGCGTTCCCTTCATTACTCCTCTGATGGAGGATCAGGGGCAGAACAGCTTCACCCCACCATTCCTCCTCTGTGCGTTACACGTTGCAGGCATAAATACCCCACCTTCAAATGGCAGCATGAAAACGGCAAGAGACGTTTCCCACGCTGGTATCGTAACAACTCTGAAAGCAAATTGAGTAAAAAATAAGTTGTTAATCTGCTCTTCTTAAGGCCAAACTAACAGATGTTTAATAACCAGAAATGCCTTCCAGCAGCAGTGTAGCACCAACATGCTGCCTTCACAGGCCCTCAGCGGGGTATTCTGAAGCAGATGAGTCCTTTTTCTGTCAATAACCGACATCGTTATTGATGTTTGATTCACTCATTGGTAATGGTTGTTGTTCTTTGGTATGTAAACGTTCATCTGTGCCCACCTCCCTTTGTCACACTTCTCGTTTCCTTTGCTCATTCAGTAGATAAAACACAAAGAAGGGAAGCGTGTTTGAAAGTTCACAGGGCCTGTATTCATCTCTCTAATCCAGAGTAATCCTCTCTGTGACCAGTCAATCTCTGTGTTTGGGGGAGTTTCATTCCAACTTTCATAATGTGCATGGGATGATTGATTTCTCCATTGCCTTCTAAATGTAAGACTTGTCTCTGTGTCACATCAGGCCCTCAGTGTTAAATCTGTGGAGTGCAAAGAGAGACTGTGATCACCTGAAACATACAGAACAAAGAGAGCCATCAGTGATTTTTAGACCCCATGTGTCCTTCAAATGCCGGAGCCCTTAAACTAAACCTGCAGCCGTACAACATCTAACTGAAACATGACGGGCTGGCATTTTGAGGAATCATGGTCTAGACATGGACTGATATGTTTCCATGTTTAATCATTGTGTGAGAAAAGGTTAGTCCTGTTTCTGTTAATGTAAACACCTCTGATCCTCAGTAAGTGGTCTCATGCTGTAGACTTTGACCAGATGTTTTATTTGGGTCTCACTTTATTTAACAGACTCACCCTTTTTTTTGTGTGTCTTGAACTCAGTAATGTTTGAGTCGACGCTGCTCTCATGTGCAGAGCGTCGTCTCTCTGATGTTGTCATGATAACCACATTTCTCTCCATCCTTGTTTTTCTTTCCTAACCTGAATTCTTCCAGTCCAACTGCAGATCGAAGACCTGACTCGTAAACTGCGTACAGGAGACCTGGGAATCCCTGTTAACCCTGAGGACAGGTCGGAAAAAGATTAAACCCATGAACAGTAACACTTTCTCTACCTTTTGACTTTTTGGAAGACAAATGTTGATTTTCAGTTTATTTCTGTGTGTGTGCTTGTTAGCCCGAGCCTCAGACTGCTGTAGTGTTAGCCTGCAGATGTAGCATTTAGCTAGCTCACTCTTTAAAGAAGGGGCAGCGCTGAGTCTAGAGTTAGACGACAGTTTCACTTCATTCACTTTAAATGTTTACGTGTTCTTCCACTGCTAACGCTAGCTATAGAATGTGTGCTAGCTTTCTTGTTTATTGATATTTCTTTAAAGATATACATACTCTAAAGTAAAGGTGGGTTTGTTCAGTGTTTAAGCTGCATCGTGAGTTTAAAATCAGGCAGTGTTGGTTCATGTGTTGCAGCTTTATGAGCATCTAAAGTTTCTTTAAGACATTCATCATAAAATCTAAACAAATGCTGCACGGAGGAAGTTCGTCTTGGAGCAACAAAAAGAAAACAAACACAGTTAGACCTGAACTTTTCCTCCTGAAAGTGGAAATTAAAATGTGTCTTTTTTGCGCTTCAATCAGTCAAATCATCAGATCCTCTTTAGAGATGGAGGCTCGTTCAGACCTTCAATTAAGTAACTTTAATTTAACGAGGCTCTGATCGGTTTCAGAAATGTACGTTAAAAATACCGATATTCATTTAGATCATGTTTTAATCATGTGTAAGGTTACGAAACACTGACGTAAACAGGACGTAGACATTGCACTTCTAATTGAAGGAGCATAAAAATAATGTATAACTTAATAATATTATTCCAAAGGAAGAATGAGTTTGAACTTTATGCTGGCTTCAGGTACAAACAGGAAGTAGCTGTCAGCTTTTCAAATTAAATCAGTCTGAATGTCTTCAAAGAGCCCGACCGTCTCTCTCGATCGACGCGTCAGTCCGATCATGGATATGTAAATCACGTCAGGGTCGGATCGGTCCGATCTCTAACTTCCTTTTTTTTAAAATAAATTAATAACAGGGCTGGGTGATACTAAGAGTCATATTTGTTTTTTTCTGTACCCATGTCTTAATCCATGTAATCTTCTTTAATTGAATTATTCTCAGTCCCCTGCGCTCGTGTGCAGCTGGCGGCTCCTCATCCGTCACGTCTCTAAGACCTGCTTTAAGTTTGAATAGATTCAAACAACAGTGGTTCTTCAGAACTCAAATAAAAGTTAAACCTAAAAGTTGTCTCAAATCTCCAACACGTAAGTGGATCTATCACCCGGCTCTTTTAAAAAAAACTCGGACCTGACTCGTTTTCTTTTTATCAGAAATAAATGTTGGATCTGACGTAAGAATAATGATGAGGTCGTAAAGCAGAGCAGGAGAGATGCACAGGGCTCAGTTATAGTTTAGATACTTCAGTTTCTGTCTGAAGAACCAAACATGTCGTCAGACGAGAGGTCAGTGGAGGTTTAGCCATCAGGTTTGACTCGTCATGGTTTCACTCTGCCTGTTCTGTGTGTCTGATGTAGAGTACTGAATGAATACATGAGTTCATATATGATGTATAGTCATGAAAGGTTTCCCTCTGATACAGGTCTGGGTCTGATCACCTGGCTCTCTTTATCTGTGATGTTTTATTTGTAGCTTGGATTATTTAGCGTCTGTTTATCTTTCAGATAGTTCAGATAATTTGGCTCTTTTAGACACAAACGTTGAACATAAATGTCGACAAGTCGCACATTTGAACATTTAACCTGTGACAGTTTAGCTTAAAGCCTTCATGATAACATCAGTTACTATTTAAAAAGATTTGTTCAAGACATAAATGATTTGTGGCTGGTCACAGCTGTTTCTCCCCTCTGTGGTTTTAAACGTTTCCACTCAGGGGGTCAGGGGGGCTTGTTCCAGCTTCCCCCCCCAGAGACGAAAACATCCAGAATAGTTTTAGTTCTGGAAAGCACTGGACAGCTTTTAGATCAGTTTCCACAAGGATCTTGCTGTGACTACTGTCAACATATATATATTGTTCAGTCCGTTCATCTTACCGTCTCTCTCAACTCATGGCCCTGACTAGTCTCCTGGTTTTGACCATATCAGCGATGCATCCAGAAACACAGTGACACGAGGAAGCAAGATGGCGGCGTACACTGTAGGCGAGGCAGAGACTGGACCAGACACAGGCACAGACATGGCCAGCTGGCCGGTACAGGATGTAATCAAGGCGGCGTCCGGACGTTTGAGAGGGCTCACTCCTTGTGATGTTAAATGAACTGACGTAGTTGTTAAAGTTGCGTGGGAAGGCGAGTTTGAATGGACTGAACAACACGTATATAAAGACAGAAGTCATGGCGGATCGCCACAAGAGAAGTATCTCACCTTTCTTAGCTCGAGTCCCTGTCGTCTGTGTACAGTTTCTCTGAATAATCAGACATTTCCACAGCAACCAAAAGTTGATAAATCTCTCCCCGACCTAATGTGACACAACCAACAAACCAGGGCTGTTTCAGGTTGTCACCGTTGGAAGATTTTAAGGAAAAACGTTTTTTTTTTTCTTCACATCACATGGATACAGATGTGGCTCTCTGCTGGGAGAGTGTAGGAAAAGGTGGATAATCTAATCTCAATTCCTTTTCTCTAACCCAAATTACCCCACATCAGCCTAACCCTTTTTCAAGCACAGAGCCTCCTTAACGCAGCGACACAGGTTTTCAGCATCCAAGGGGAGGTACGGACCTCTCCCTCCACGTCAACACCCAGCGACCCTCACAGCCAGCGTTGTGCTTAGGACTGGTTCTTTTTCTCACCTCACACTTTCCTCTCCTTTAGGCCAACAATCCTGTATGCAGGTTTAATTATGGCCATGTATCTTTTTTTTATTCTGTGTGGTTGATGCCCCCCCCCTCCCCTGTGAATTGGGTTAATTACCACCAAACAGCATTGGTTGCCCCCTTTTTTTTTTTACCCTTAAATATATAAAAGAATGGACTCTAGCCTTTAAGATGTCAGTGCAGAGTTCATGCATAACTTTCTTTTTTCTCTTGCACTGGCCAGAAGTCTCTCAGTGAATCCAAATTTAACCATCGACTTTTTAAATTGAACCTTGTCAGCACCCTTTGCTTAAAAAGTCCAGCAGCGTTTTTGAAACTGTTCAAGTTTGAGTTAGCCGTAGGGAGCCTGTTTGAGTGTTGAAAGCAGAACTCCATTTCTAGAAAGGTATCCATGATGTCTTTCTTGTCTTTTGTCGTTGTCCGGTTTCAGGTCTCCGTCTCCGGAGCCAATCTACAACAGCGAGGGGAAGAGGTTAAACACCCGAGAGTACCGCACGCGGAAGAAGATCGAGGAGGAGCGTCACTCCCTCATCACAGAGATGGTCGGACTGAACCCTGACTTCAAGCCTCCTGCAGACTACAAGTATGACTTCTTCACTTGTTTATATGGGGGGGGGGGGTTATCGTCTCTATTTACAACCTGACCCCCGGCTTTTACATCCCTTTAGTTCTAAATGATTTCCAGTGTGAACACCAGAAATGCTTTAAAGGATGTTAAGCGCTCTGTTAGGTGAAATAGCGTGTTCATATTTGCTGTGTTCCTGCAGCGGGAGAAGGCGGGTGGATGTCGGTTAACACAGATTCTTTCAGGAGGGTCAGTTAGATGTTCCTTGCTTACTGTAAATGCTCATCATGTTTTCTCTCCTGCAGACCTCCAGCCACCAGAGTCAACGACAAAGTGATGATCCCCCAGGATGAGTACCCTGAAATCAACTTTGTTGGTCTTCTGATCGGGCCGCGGTAAGTGACATAAACTATCGGTGTGCGTCTCCTTTTCCACAGCCACAGCAGTTTAAAGTGAGTTTGAGTTTGACTCTGTTCTCGGCTGGTTTCTCAGAGGTAACACGCTGAAAAACATCGAGAAGGAGTGCTGTGCCAAGATCATGATCCGGGGGAAAGGTTCAGTGAAGGAGGGGAAGGTCGGCCGGAAAGATGGACAGATGCTTCCAGGAGAAGACGAGCCGCTGCACGCCCTCGTCACCGCCAACACCATGGAGAATGTCAAGAAGGCTGTGGAGCAGGTAAGATAATCTCCGCTGTTTTCATCCATCATATTTGTGCAGCTCCTCTTCATACTTCAGTCACCTGGGAGTGTAAAGACGAACAGTTCAGTTACGGTGAGACATTTATGTCCACAGATTCGTAACATTCTGAAACAAGGCATCGAGACGCCTGAGGATCAGAACGACCTGAGAAAGATGCAGCTGAGGGAGCTCGCCAGACTCAACGGCACCCTGAGGGAGGACGACAACAGGTCAGTGTGACACAGAACCCTCTTAAGAACAACAGTAACTTTAGTGTTTAGTCCAGAAATTCATAATTTGTCCTTAATCTCCGCCAGAGCATCAGCACAGAAACTTTGCTCTTTACTGTCTCAAAATGAACCTTCAGTGTTTGTGTTCTGGGTTTTTCACTTTGAGCTGGATATCCTCAGATGTCTCCTCTTCTTCATCTAACAAAAAAACAAAGACAGAACCAGTAAAACATGTTGGAACATGATGTTTAAAAGCTGTCTTTTACACTCTTCGGCAATGTTACATGAGCTGTTAGCTGAGTTGTTGTTGACTTTGGCTCTGCTTTAAATCAAGACATCTGACATCCCTCATATGGTCAAAGAGGACAATGACATTACTGTTGACAGTCTGAAGGTTTTACCAGAACAATGGTGATGATGGTTATATCCTGCAACCGTCTGCCTGGAAATCTCTAGAAATTTACAGACGTGCCTATGTGTTACTGACTCATTATTCAGATAACGCTTGTGAAACCTGATAAATATTTCCCTGTCAGATCAAACTTGAGACTACGTTGGGCCTCTATGGGCGGTACAGCCTGAGGATGTAACGGTGTGAAGAAGGGGGTGTAGTTTAATCCACAGGAAGTCTTTAAAGTTCGGAGCACCACTGAAACCTGATGTGTGTCTCTGCAGAATCCTTCGTCCATGGCAGAACGCTGAACCTCGCAGCATCACCAACACCACCCTGTGCACCAAGTGTGGTGGAGCCGGACACATCTCCTCCGACTGCAAATACACCAGGTGACGATGAGGATCAGTGTGTGTACTCGCAAAGCTTGAAGGTGTTAATTGTTCTTTAATTAACTTTCCTTTTCGTCCGTGCAGCTCCTTCGCTGCCCACAGAGCGACGGGCGGCGAGCCCCCTCAGTCAGCTCAGGACAAAGCTCGTATGGACAAAGAGTATCTGTCCCTCATGGCCGAGCTGGGGGAGGCTCCGGTCCCTTCGTCTGGAGGAGGACACTCTGGAAACCAGGGAGGAGCACCCCGGTCCTCAGGACCCAACAGCAACCAGCCCCCACCGGTTAGTCCTGAGCACCCATGATCCCACAGTCCTGTTTGTGTCTGTGATGATTTCACATCCTGATTAACGGTCTTGTGTGTGTTCAGCAGAACCGCCCCCCCCTGGATGAGCTCCGGGCCCACTGAGAACAGGAACTACCACAGCATGCATGGTGGACCGGGAGGTCACGGAGGACCTCACAGCTTCCCTCCCCCCATGCCCAACATGGGAGGCCCCCCAATGCCTCCAAACCCCAACGGCCTGCCTCCCCCCTGGATGCAGCCCCCTCCTCCTCCCATGGGCCAGGGACCAGGACCTCATGGACACCCCATGGGTAAGAGATTACTTTTCTAGACAGTTTTTTTTTTGAAGTCAACAGATAAACCTGTTTGAAATCAACTTAAAGTAGAAGTAGCTGAAAATAAAACCCTCAGTAAATTTAAGACCCCAGAACTTCCCTGTCATATTTTTGCTTTCAGGTCTGCTGCCGCCTCCGATGGGCATGATGCCTCCTCCCCCTCCTCCCCCCCAGCAACCAGCCGCCTCCCCCTCCTTCTGGACCCCTGCCACCATGGCAACAGCAGGCTCCACCCCCACCTCCAACCAGCAGTATGGCAACTAGTACACCGCTGCCATGGCAACAGAGTAAGATCACACTACGCCATACTTGAAAACTGTCAACTACTGAATCTACTGACTGATCTGTGAAAAGGACACGGTGTACTGGAAGTGAAAGGACCAGTTTAGGCACATAATTTTTAGTTTTTACAATGCATTGTGGGATATCAAGCTTACTGCTGACCTTCATATTCTTATCTCTTTGACAGTGAAATAGTTTGTTGTTCACTTTGAATACAGACGTGCGTGTCATGTGCTCTGCCCGGAGCTCGAGGCTCGGACTGATCATAAAGCAGAGTTTAATTCAGGAGACTTTAAATGGTTTCATTTCTTGTTTCTTCACCTGATTTAAAAAAAATGCAGACTTACTGTAGCTCTCCTTCTGTACACATGAAAAGAAAACGATGACCCTCTGTAGATAGTATTATATACGGGGAGGTCGGCTATCTTTGCCGAGTCTGTTTGGTAGACATGTTTGTGTCAGCTCTAATGGAGCATCAGAACATCAAAGTGACCTGTCTCCTTCTCCCCCCTGCAGACACCACCACCACGTCCAGCCCTGGAACCGGCACCCTGCCCCCCTGGCAGCAGCCCCAGCAGACTGCAGCCTCCGGAGCTCAGCCCCCTCCACCCATGGGAACCCCCTCCATGGTGCCGCCTCCCCCTGGCGTCCAGCCCCCACTGCCCCCCCGGAGCCCCTCCTCCTCCCCCTCCCCCTCCCCCAGGCTCAACAGGCATGATGTACGCGCCTCCGCCTCCCCCGCCTCCCATGGACCCTTCCAACTTTGTCACCATGATGGGGATGGGGGTGCCGGGCATGCCCCCCTTTGGCATGCCTCCTGCCCCACCGCCCCCTCCCCCTCAGAATTAACCCCCCCTGCAGAAGAATCGTCCTCCCATACGTGTGCTCACAGAAAACATATAACCAGTGCTTTATTTTTTAATGATCATCCATATGAGAGGCTGTCGGTTGAGTTTGTAAAGTAACTTAATCAGTTCTGTTTTTAAAATTCACACTCTGCGAACAAACGCGTCCTGATCACTGACGCAGTTCATCCTCCTACCTGTAAACTAAACGACTCATCAGATATCCAGCAGCGTCTTAATTTCTGCTCATCGCTTCTTCACTCAAACGTTACGTTATTGGAGAAAATATATTCGAACTCGTCTTGCATGGCCCATTAAAACACATCGCTCACAGATGATTCTCCCATCTTGTCGGCTTAACGTTGAATAAGATTAATATTTTTGTAATAACGACGTGAAGTGTTTCTTAGTTCTGTCAGAAAATCTTTTTGTAGTTCTGTCTCTGATGTTTTCCAGAAGTTTCCAGGGTTTTTATTGTTTTGTTTTTTTTCTTTAGTCTACTTGCCTGCGTCTCAGTCGTGACATTGAATTTAAAAAAAGGGGGGGGGGAAGGGGGGTTTGATGCTTCTAACCCGCCTGCACTACTTGAATGCTAAACATCCGATGTATCTTTGTTTTCCGGACATGATATGACGCTGTGTGCAGTGTTTGTGTTGCTCTCTGCAAGGACAGAGACAGATGTTAGTTTTACTCTCTTTCTGGAATCAGTCTGTTGTGTTGAGTGTGAATGAATAGCTGTTGAAATCTTGCTTGGTTTCGCATTAAACTGATCCATTTCACCTTCGAGTGCAGACTGCTTTCTCCTTTCAGGGATGTGAGACCCTCTGTGTGTGTGTCCCAATGTTTGGCAAGAAATCTTTTTTTTTTTTTTTTTTTTTTTTTTTTTCCCCCAGGCGAGGCCATGCTGGCTGCTGCTTTCAAATGTTACATAAGCGGGTTTTGTCAAGGTTGTCCTCGGCCCCACAAACTCTCCAGGAAGTCTACACGCTTCAAGTCTCATGAAATGTAAAGCATTGCTAAAGTTCCTTATTTCCTTGTTTCTGTCCTACAGGTTTTAGAAAAGAATGGTGATTATGTGGAACAGTCCTACCTCTTAGTTGATTTACTACCTCAGAGAGCATAAACTAGTTAGGGAAAATGTTTGCTCTCTGTAGTTAAAAGTCTTCTTCAACACAGTGTGATGTTCATTAGTGAATGATGGTCCTGTTTAGAGTGGCTTTGTTAACTCAATCACTAAAACATTAAAAAATCACACAACCATGTTTAAAAGACCATTTCTAATGTCCAAAATATATATTACAAATAAATAAAAGAGCTTAAGTGTGATCCGTTTCAAAACTTAAGTCATGAAAACAAGTGTTTTTTTTCAGCAAGTCTGACGTACTCAAACTCACCACAATCCATTTGGCCGTTAAAATCAATTTAAGGTGTCCTTTTCAATTGTGCTGCCTTACCTGTTAAACTGAATAATTTCAGCAGCCTGGAGAGAATTAAAAAACTATTAATGTGTACACAGAGATTATGCACGCACATCCGAATAGTTGAGTACTGGGTGCTGGACAAAAAACATCTAAAGCAGAGAAAAGAAAACGTACTTGTTCATGTCTGATGAAGGGCCAGGAGCTGACACGTTACATGAGGTGATGATTTCCATTTAATGTTAATTGAAGCAGCTTCTAGTCTGCAGACTTGGCCTTTCTCTGTCTTAAGATACACACATAAACAGAAGTATTGAGCTCTCGTTTGGTACTCTTTAACAGGATAGAAGAGCCACCTAAATATGAATCCAGAGAGATATCAATAATAAAATAGTTATAGCTGTTTGGCAACATTAAGTTGCAAATATCAACTTGAATATTTGAACATAAACCGAGATATTAAGGTATGTGTTTATTTGTAGTCCAATAATGTTTTGCCAGATTGGGGCGCCGGATTGCCAAGTGTCCACGTCATGTCTCCAACGTACGGGGCGGTAGACCTCGTTCAACAGCCATGGGTTCAATTCCAACCTCGTCACTCTGCTACAGGTCGTCCTCCACTATCCACTGTCCTCCCAATGTTTCCTGTCTTTCTTCAGCTGTCATATCCAATAAAGGCAAAACAGAAATGATACAGAATCACATTACGTCAGCATGTTATACTTTATTCCAGTGGTCATCAACTGGCAGCCAATGGGCCACATCCGGTCCCCCAAAGATTCCCATTCAGCCCCCTGAATCATCTCGGGTGATGAAACGGTAAACATAAAATAAAATCCCAAAGCTGAAATACTCACATTAGGTTCCCCTCTGACCCATCTTCTTCACATCGGGCTCGACGGCTTTTATGTGCAAGCATATTTTAAAGTCCGGCCCCCACGGTGTACGTCAAGAAAAAAGCTGACCCTTGTACAAATGACCCCTTCTTATACCAAAATGAGGATATTTTGAAGCAACACTGAGCTATTTTAACAAACAAAAATGATAAATACCATAAAGAGTTTAATGACTGAGCTATTTAAAATTAGAAAGAAAGAAGGTGAGGAGATATTAGGTTACCAGTCCAGTCATATTTCCAGTCCAATAACAGATAGCAAAATTAAAACAATAAACTTTAAGATTGACTCATATTCAATGGGCTCATTGAAAGAATATCTACAATTTAGTTTGGTTAATCCCAATAGACCATCTTGAAAAAATCTGTCAGTATTCAATACCCCCCCCCTCCCCCTACAACATGTCCCCCAAGGGCCTCTTTAGACTCGCGAGAAAAATAATGAATAAAAAACCCTTTTCAGCAGTTATTTGTGTCTCAAATCAGCTGAATGGATGAGGCTCCATCGTTGGGAACTTTTTGTCCAAGACCCAAAAACAAGTGTACTAAATTAAAACCGGCAAAAGAGACATATAAATGTCAAAATAAAAGCCCCAATTAGATATTTTCTCCATATGTTTGACACAGTTTGCTAATTCAGCGTATTTAATAAAAAATAACGTTGATGTATTATGATTTTATAGCTCCAGATTTAAGGTGTAGACGCCATATTTTGTTATTTACTGTTGTTTTACCAAACAATTTACTATTGTTTGGAAATGTGTTAAAAGAGAAGAGTGTGACGCATTTGAATGTCAGTTTTATTTTGAAAGGTCAGACCGGGAAAGCTTGTCTTCCTGCCGCCACCTTGACGCAGAGTCTGTGTCGTATAAAAGCGGCTGGAGCGTCTCATCCCAGCGGCTGTGTGCTCAGGAGAGAGTCTGAAGAGAAGGTCGGAAGTGATATTAACTTATTAACGCTTAACGTGAGAAAAGAACTGGAAAGACAACATGGCCAGGCCACTCTCAGACCAGGACAAGAGGAAGCAGATCTCCGTCCGGGGTCTGGCTGGGGTAGAAAACGTCTCGGACTTGAAAACTAATTTCAACAGGCACCTGCACTTCACCCTGGTCAAAGACCGGAACGTGGCCACCAAACGGGACTACTACTTCGCCCTGGCCAACACGGTGCGGGACTACCTGGTGGGGCCGCTGGATCCGGACCCAGCAACACTACTACGAGAAAGACCCCAAAGTAAGATGCCGCAGTGATCCTGCACGTACACAGCTGACCGAGGGAGGAGGAGAGGGGAGGGGGGCGGGGTCGCTCCTGCAGCATCATAATTTACGACCCTGCACGAGTGGGCGTGCGCGCGCTCTGTGCAGATTTCCCTTTTATCTCCATGTATAGAAATGTTCCGGCTACTTTGTCTCGTGCGTTAAATGCGACGTCAGAGTGAGCTGCGACTGTGCGTGTGTGTGTGTGTGTGTGCACGCGGATGCGGATATTTCCTGTCTGTGTGTTATATAATGTGCAGCTCGTGCATCTCAATTAGACTGACTAACCTTGATGGGTGTGTTTGTGTGTGAGGAGTGAAGAGGATATCAACTCGCTCTGATCTGACTGTGTGTGTGTGTGTGTGTGTGTGTGAGGCTCAACTGGTTGTCCAAATATGTGTTACGTAACGCGCTCCATCCATCCATCACACACACACACGCACACACACACACACACACACACACACACACACACGACACACACACTGCTCATCTCAAAATGTCCACACACTGTTTAAACAAACAGCTGAGAGTAGACTGCATGTTTTTGCTCTTCATTTGACCATCTCATCGACAAAGTGTAAACACTCAGCAGCTCTGGTGCGTGACTGGAACAAGATGCTGAATGGAGGATTTAAAGGGCCAACACCTGTGTGTCGGGCTGCACTGAGTGCTGACCACAGATCATCCTGCTTCAAACTTCCTGTTTGTAATCCCTGACAGGGTTTAATGTTGCCACCACACATGTAAAAGTAAACGATGTTGATCTGTTTCATACGTAGCACTCAGGGGGAAAATGTAAGTTTCTGGTGCTTGAGCGCTCAGCTGTACATCAAAGTCATTTGTGAAAGCCTCAGGTTGTACTGCCATCTCACAGACCTGTAGTTAGTAAATATTCCAAATAATGCTGAAGAACTTTCTGAGGCATCCAGCATGCACGCTGCAGCTATAAGACACAGCTGCTGTTGTAAAAATATTTGATTATGCAAAAATCATCCTGTAGCTGATTTAAGGGATGTTTTGATTACTATTCTGAATCTTAAGTCAGTAAATCCCTCTTTTAGAAATGAAGCACATCAGTGAAAGAATCCACTGTTCAGTGTTTGGTTTGGTCTTTTCTGCACGTACATTCCTGCTGCCACAGACACTCCCTAGGGGAACAAACGGGGATTCGTCCGCTGCAGAAAATAGTCCCTAACGTGTCCACTGTTTAGTCCTGTCCCAAACTTCCAACCTTCTGTTACACACTGTAACACACTGCAATCCTGGCGCACAAGCTCTGCTCTGTTATTTATGCCGACCACTCGATGCCTTTGTTACTTTTGGCACATGTTCATTTTCCATATTGCTTCCTTTGTGCAAAGTGCCCCCTCACCCCCCCCCCCCCCCCCCCCCCCACCACACACACACACACACACACACACACATATCAGAAATGTCAACACAAGGTCAGGGATGTTCAGCAAGGACACACAAAGTTGCAGCTGCTTTTATCGTGCCCTAACATAACTTCTATTTAATCTA